CGAGTGTTTTGGTGTTCTTTCTCTTTTGTATTATAGTCAAACATAAAAACACGTTCCCTGTTGTCACAATTTTAAACCCCGGGAAAAAGTAACCAATGATCGAGCATCTGAATATGATATTTCTGCCGCTTTCCTTTTCTCTGCCGTCACAATATGTAAACCCCAGCAAAAATGAGCCAATCAACGGACATGATCTGGAGTGCGGGTAACTGATACCTGCACTCCAGTTACCGCACTGTGCATGTATATGTATACGATTTAACTCCGACACTTTTTCAACAGAAAGGTCCCCAAATTATGATACAATAGCTTTTAACGGCGTATTTGTTTATGTGACGCTGTCATTTTAACGTACAAAGACAAATGATGAAGTTGAACGTGCGTTGTGATAATCACCAGAATGTCCTCGTTAACTAATGATACTGAACTTTAATATGAAAACTTGTCATTTCTTAAATAGGTCATTATAAAGATGCACTAAGTGTATGAACTCATACTTTGATGAAAGAATTACATGATTAAGTGGTGCAATTATGTTTAATGTAAGTTAAAAAGATAAAATTTAGGGTGCAATAACATTATGTGGTTCCTATTCGTAATGCCATTTAATAAATCGAAACATCTCACCTATTATTCATTTTAAGCTCGGACTTTAGACTTTATTCGGATTAAAAGTACTTTTAACCCGTGTTGTTTAGATGTCAACAATAACAAAGTGTAATCTTTGATAATGTATAACTAATGTATATAATTTTGACATCCTAAGGAAACTAAAGTCTAAATTGGTATAATTATGATCGAAAATATGTCTAACAATCATTAATAATTTAATATTGCCCACTGATGTACAATTATAAACAAATCCGAAAAGGTAGACATTTTGTACTGTCAGTTTTTACAATCATTAGTTTAAACAATATTTTATTTCTATTTTTACAACATATATATGTACAGTAAGCATATATAAACACACTGATATATTTCGTGGATTGGAAAACAAGTCAAATGTGACTTATGTAAATTCCTTTCCACACATAATGTACTTGCAATATAAAATATGCACATATTTGGTTAGAATAATACAGAAAAGAGTAATCATATAAATAATTAAAATTTGAATAAATTTACAATCATTATAATAAGTATCCAATAAATAATGATCTGTTTACTTTAATATCTATAAATTTACTTAATTTACGTGGACTTTTACCCGATATATTGAAATAAACTTAGTCAACATGTCCCAGCATTAAATTACTGTTTGTTTACATGTTTAGATTCTTAGGTAGGTTAAACAACTAAAGTCCAGATATACTTATTTCTTTTATGTAGATCTGATGACGACTGTATATGTTTTGCCTTCTTTATAATTCGGATTTCCCGAGAAAGCTATTTTAGCCATGCAAGCAAATCGGAAATTACATAGGCATTAGAACAAGTCAAAATACCGTTATCCGTGGAAGTTAAACAAATTATTGATTTTTGTTATAAAGTAACTTTTAAAAAATTAACTTGAAATAAAAGAGTCAACTTGTAATGGCCAAGATTGTTTTGCCAGTTTACATGTCGGCTAAATGGACAACGCCAGATGTCTACTCAGTAATGGTTTTCCATGATTAAATTTAGAAACATCATCGTTTCCAAAATTATGAAAGCTCGCCGATGATTGGCTGTGTGAAAGGTCACTAGAAATGATTTCGAAATTGGTCACGTCAGATCTAAAAACGGAGCATTAATTTAGAGCTGATTTAAATCAGATTTGACCGAAATACCGTTTCCTTACTATTGTGTTTGATGTTCTTATCCGAAGTTTGACAGAAAGGGCCAAGAAGATGCGATTGTTATGTAATGTCTGACTACCTCGCCGATTATCCACACTATTTTAGAACATAACGGAAGAATAACGGAACGGGCGGAAATGCTGCAATCGGTTCAAAGCAAGGTGGATAACAATTTCTGAGTCGGTAACATTTGCAATAGGGATCAACTGTAGTTGAGTCTAAGATTCCAAGTATCCAAATAGTGTTGAGTAGATGACTTAAAAAGATATGAAATAGAAACTTCAACGCACGGTCACATGCTGAACATCAAATTACTTACCTATCTAAATTATAGGTCACACCCTTTATTGCTACACTTCTTCATTTTGCTCCAGAGAGACTAGAAAGATTGTTTTAAGTTGAAAATCAAAAATATATATTCATAAAATACAAATGTTATTTTAAGAACAAGATGTGTATTTTCCTCAGTACTTAACAGTCTTTAAAGTTGACACTCCGTTCCAGCTTTCTCCAATTAGAGCATTGTCATGTCTGGCCTTATTCATCGTGCATTTTTAATTTGAAATGCAAAAAAAGAAACATAATCAATATGCCAACATTATAACATACATGCATTGATAAATCACAATACAATATCCACTACTCTTCCATAAATATCGAAATGACATACTAAAAACAGTTGTCTTTCTTTGTCTTTGAGAGAAATAGTGTATTGGCCAGATATGTTAAGGGGTGGGGCATTTATTCAAATTTCCCCATTTGCTTTTTCTATTTTTCATACTTAGTCTGGAAGAAACATCTAGATTAAAAAAAAAACAACAATTATTAGAAAGTGAGTAAAATGTTTTAATATATACCTCAACAATTTTTTACTTTCAATATAACAGTTCCCTCAACAATATATCAGTTCCCTTAACAATAAATCAGTCCCTTTAACAATATATCAATTCCCTTAAATATCAGATTCCTTAACAATATATCATTCCCTTCACAATATATCATTTTCTTAACAATATATCATTTTCTCAACAATATATCATTTTCTCAACAATATATCATTTCCTTAACAATATATCAATTCCCTTAAATATCAGTTTTCTTAACAATATATCAGTTTCTTAAACAATATATCATTTTCTTAACAACATATCAATTCCCTTAGATATCAGTTTCCTTAACAACATATCATTCCCTTAATAATATATCATTTTCTTAACAATATATCATTCCCTTAACAATATATCAATTCCCTTAACAATTTATCAGTTCCTTAACAATGTATCATTCCCTTAAACAATATATCATTTTCTTAACAACATATCAATTCCCTTAGTTATCAGTTTCCTTAACAATATATCATTCCCTTAATACTATATCATTTTCTTAACAATATATCATTCCCTTAACAATATATCAATTCCCTTAACAATATATCAGTTTCCTAAATAAAATAGCATTCCCTTAATAATATATCTTTTTCTTAACAATATATCATTTCCTTAACAACATATCATTCCCTTAACAATATATCAGATTCTTAACAATATATCAGTTTCCTTAACACTATTTAAGTATCCTCAACAAAAATTCAGTTCTCTGTAAATACTAGTATATCAGTTGTTTTTTTAGACTTGTTAGTTTCCTTAATAATATATCATCAGTTTCTATTGGGGACATTCCCTTTCCGGAATATATAAACAAATCTTGCCAATCATGACATACATGCTCATTGTATTATGGTTTTGTGGGTTTTTATTACTTCATATCATTTATCTAAAAAGACATATCCGATGAAACATGCATACATTTAACATACGAAACTAGAGCATAATATAAGTAAACAAGCCAGTTTACATAAGATTTAAGTAAAACACATCATAATACTATACATGCACTTACTGTTTAGTCTACAAGGCTAAGCTAAACACTTATATATACAAGTATCTATAACAATTTAAAATAGATTTACCATATAAACTGACAATTGGAAAGACAACATGCCAGTTAGCCTATATTCTTTATGTAGTATTTCACTTTCGTGTCGAATTAATTTCTAATGACTAATATTTTGTATTTACGAAATCTAAACAAAACAACGATCTGCAAACAGTGTTCAACACTCTGCTGGGTTTAGATCCAGATTAGCATGCGCCTTCGTGCAGTATGACAATGCTCTACCAGATCTTCATCTTGATATCCCTAAAATTTATAATAGACAGTTCCGTAAAGAGCAGACTAAAGTGACACGGTTCTTAATGACGGGACTAAACTGTGATTTAGCGGTATATAGCTTCCTAACATGAAAACTTTCCAAAGTTCCTTACGGTATTAGTACTGCAGTGAGTGGAAACAAAAATCAGCCACTGATGCACCTTCAGCCATTGAGGTCCCTTCAGCCACCGATGTTCCTTCTGAGGTCTCTTTAGCCACTGAGGCCGCTTCAGCCACTGAGGTCTCTTAGCCACTGAGGTCTCTTAAGCCACTAAAGCCTCTTCAGCCACTGAGGTCTCTTTAGCCACCGAGGTCCCTTCAGCCACTGAGGCCCCTTCAGCCAATGAGGTTTCTTTAGCTACTGAGGCCCCTTCAGCCACTGGGGTCCCTTACAAATAAGAATGTGTCTTATGCACCAAGACCAATTTTATAATTTTTAAGAAGCAAGTGTTAAATTGCAATACCCAAGTCAATTTTCGACCTTATCACTTAAATAGTTGTACGGTGCATTTTAAAAAGTGTTACAGTTTTTTTTCCCACAATATTTGTTAGTTCACACAGCGCTTTGTGCTTCAACTCTCGGATTTCAATTCGTACGTTATGAAATAATATTACTGAAAATGAAGCATGCACTTATTAATATTTATGAAAAACATACGACATACATGTACATGTGAGACAGAAATGACCAGACGACAACCAGACCCATTCAAGAAAATCAATCACTTTCCTTATCCATCGCTTTTTATTCAATAAAGTTGTGTTGCATTTGGCCGTAACGTCTAAATATAGCGTCACATTTTTCGTAAAAATTGATTATTACGCAAATGTCGATAGGTAACGTCAAACGTTCAATTACGTGATAAATATCTCGCGCAGCTCAAAATCGTTTTTATAACATCTAAATTTATTGAAAGGGGATGGCGTTTATGGGGTGGTGGGGTAGCAATGGGGTAGGGAAGAGAAATTGTAACAAGAAAACGTTACTTTCAAAAGTGAAATCACACGGTAGTTATAGCGTTCCGTAGCGTTAAGTTTATGTCAGTAGGCGAGTAAATCGGTAACTTTTATTGCCCTTGCCTCGTCATTAACTAGCATTCGGCCCAAAATAACCGGAGGACTTACTGTAACGACGATGTACGTATATTTCTGAGATTTTTTTTATTTATTTCACTTTGGATTATTTTTCTTCCTTTTTTTCAGAAATGGAAAAAAGTGTTGATGTTTTGTTTTTGTTTTTGTTTTTAATTTAATTTTATAGGTACATGTAGAACAAGTGTTGTTGTCTTTTTTATTCTTTACGATTTTTATCAGATTCCGAAAACAATGTGATATTGTTACTTTGTCTGTACATGTACTTATATGTAAATTAAATGGTTTATGGAATAGTATTCAGAATGGGTATTGTCTACAAACATGGCTTATTAATAGAAAATACTTTTGACTTGAAAAAAAATCATCAACTTTATGGTTTATCATTAACCGATAAAAAATTCAAATCGTTTATCGTATAGTGTTCTAGATTTCTTATATTTATATTTTTCATCATTATTTATTTATTTTTATATTTTTTTTTATTTATCTATTTTTTTTTTTTTGAAGGATTACTTTTTTATTATGTTAATGAAAATGGCGCTTGTACGTCTGAATATCTCTGCTTGGTTTACGTATAGTGAAAAAAACGACATATATTGGTTTCTAAATATAAATTTTGAAACTTATATAACATAGCTGAAACGCATAAAATATTACTTTTAACTTATATAAACATATATTCCGACTCTGACAGAAAAGAAAATATATGTTATACGTTAAATACTTATTTCGGGTGTGCATGTATTTGATACCTAATATCCATATCAGAATTCATAATGAATATTCATTCTCTAATACTCATTTTTTAACAACAATCTAAACATTTAAACAGATAAAAACTTCAGTAAACTTATGAGATGAGGATTTTTGAGTGTGCAGAAAATATAAATAGTATATTAAAAGATATCACAAGTTTATCGAATAAGTTTATCAAAGCTCTTTTAATTACTTGTAGTGCGTTGGTCAAAATTTTCCTGGGAATGATGACCGGATTAAGAACCGTAACTCATGCCGAACAGTACACTTTTATAATAATAATTTTGACTGGCGTATCAATGCAATACTTTTTATCTTAGGGAAGACAAAAAAAATCAGAAATGTCTCCTCAATAAATCATAAATATATCTGGTTTTTATAAACATATATAGTTGCATAAATATATATGAAGTGTAGTTCAAAAATGCTATTCTAATTACTCCCCCTGGTTGAAAACTCGTTAAAGTGTTGCACTATTTTTCCATATTTTCTGTGTTCAGACAACCATAATGAGCACAGACAAACAACAAAAAAGGTCCGCCTACGTAACCCAATAAAAAACTAGCAATTTGACATAAAAAAGAAATTAATGTCAATATGTAATAAATATTATAAATATATATTCATCTAAAGACCAACCTTGAATTCCAAATACATGTAAATAAATAAATAAATAATAAATAATATGCACATTTTTACAGCAAAGCGCGCATTTCCCCCCCCCCCCTTTCATTTGATCAGAAGAATTTTATTACCTTCGTAATGATAATTATTATATGTCAAATAGACCTATATCTGCCAATCTTAAACAGAAACGCGTCACATTTTATCACATTTGCTTTTTCTGTACAGAAACATTCTTTGTATGATAATCTTAATACATGTACATCTAAATATGTAAACAAGATCATACTTGAATAAATTTCGCAAATGTGGTAAAAGTGTCAACAGTATTTTACCTAAATACGGTACAAACTACAAGTAAATAACCAAATTCCATTCCTCTTTCGACTGACTGGTCCTCGGGGACATGTTTTACTGTATTTGGAAGAAAATGGTTGAATTTTATTTTGATTAAAGAGTTGAAAAAGTACGCTTTGGTCATGTTTCTTTGCACAGGCATAAGACGCTGTGATCGGATATTATCCCCTACCGCTACCCCCTTCCCACTATACATGTAGTAATAGTTAAACTATAAAGATATATTGAAATTTGTGTAATAGTGTCATATTATTGTAGTTATGATTACTAATATATGGGAATATTTTTGGGGGGTTGTAACAGAGATTGGAGGGAGGGGGGGGGGGGGTGTAGCGGTAATCACAGCGTCTTATCCCTGTGTTTATTTGTAGTACATATTGACTGCATATGTTTCATATTCAGACGTAACTGTTTTAAAACTCGTGAACAAACATAATATTTAGTTTCTAAATTAAGATATTAAACTGTCAAGTTTTTGTAGGTGAGGAATTTAAAATGAAATGACAGTTAACAGTTATTTCACCTCGACATCTCAGCCGTCGCGTCTTTTTTTTATATATATAAAATATATCTTTTTTATTCTCTAGATAACAAAGGTACACATTTCAGTTTGTCACGCACGCTTGCTTTAAAAAAAGTTAAAATATTAATTCTCTCAGACCTACATTATATGAAATTGCCCCTATCCGTAAGTCGTTTTTTTAATACATAACTGCCTTTTAAATTATGCCAATTCCGTTGTTTGATTTCTTCATGTCTTAAACAAGTTCATTAATTTTGTGTCTTGACTCGTGTACTGTGTACGTTGAAATGTCAAGGTCAAAATAAAAAATTGCATGTTCAAAACTTCTTAGTTCTGACTTTCAAAACTTTATAACCATTTTTTTTCAAAACCATTTTTTCTTTCATTTAATGCTGCATTAAGTAAACTTATAACATGAGTGAAGATTTTAACTGAAAACTCATTCGCGTTAAAATAAATGACTTTTGAGTACAAAGTAAATGTGAGTGAAAGGAAAATAAAAACGTGTTTTCAAAAAGCGACAACGAAAAAGCACGATACTCCCAAAATAACCACAATGTGATACAAAACAACTGTAAACTACTGTATAAAAATGATATAGACCTTTGAACTTTTTCGTTAGCTGGTCAAGTGAATGAATTATGAAATATCCTTTTCGTTTCATCTTTCTGCATGGTAATTTTAGATACTGTACAGTAAAGATGATACCCTATAAACAAAGCATTGACCGGTAATCATTTAATGTTGTTTAGACCGGAGCTGATTCCCCCGAACTTACGTACACTACGTTATAGTCAGAGAAGTTCATTCCCCTTACACTGCGTTATAGCCAGGGGTGAATTCCCCTTAATCTACGTTATGGTCAGGCCCCGTGTTCACAAAGATTTAAGGATCAGGATCAAGATTAGGATCAAATTTAAAAACTCAAGTATTCTCCATTATTTATCCTCATTGATTAAATATTCAGTATTAACTTCATAAAACTGGACTTAAGATGGCATGCTTATGAAATTTTAGAATGAATTTATTTTTATTTTTACAAGATATGGGCATTTTACAGTTGATCCAAATTTTGATCTTGATCCTGAAATTGATCCTTATTTTGATCCGATTATTTTTGTATTTGTTTTGTTATTTGTTGATTTTTCCCCCAAATAGGTTGGTTTCTTTGCAAGTAAGCAATTATTTATATTCCGAATATGTACTAGTTACTTCTAGTATAATACCATCAATTTTACTTGTATAAAACAATGAAAATAAAATCAGGATCATCTGATCCTGATCCTGATCTTTTCTTTGTGAACACGGGGCCAGGAGGTTATTCCACTTACACTACGTTATAGTCAGGAGTTCATTCCCCTTACACTATGTTATAGTCAGGGGTTCATTCCCCTTACACTACGTTATAGTCAGGGGTTCATTCCCCTTACACTACGTTATAGTCAGGGGTTCATTCCCCTTACACAACGTTATAGTCAGGAGTTCATTCCCCTTACACTATGTTATAGTCAGGGGTTCATTATCCTTATACTATGTTATAGTCAGGGGTTCATTCCCCTTATACTACGTTATAGTCAGGAGTTCATCCCCCTTACACTACGTTATAGTCAGGAGTTCATTCCCCTTACACTATGTTATAGTCAGGGGTTCATTCCCCTTACACTACGTTATAGTCAAGAAATCGAATATGAACAAGAAGCCTTTATTATATATTTGTATCATAGTTTAGGGTAATTTCCGTTGCATTAACTGAAGTGCAGGTATTCCAGAGCATGCTCATTGATTGGCCCTTTTTTGCTGGACAACAGGGAACGTGTCTATATGTTTGACTACAAAAGAGAAAGAACATCAAAACACTCGGCAATCTGATTAATACTCGGGGGCTACGCCCCCTTGTACAAATCAGAAAGCCTCGTGTTTCAATGCTCTTACTATTACATGTAAATGGATCACTTTCTCGATATTAATGTCAAAGTGCAAATGTATATGATTAACCGATCGTATTCACGATTTATGTGGCTAACTTGTTGCAGAGATATTCCATCGAATTTAAGAATTACATAACACCAGCAAGGGCTGTACATATTACACATAATTATATACATTCCTGATTTACAAAGATCGACAGACAAATTTGTAGAAATAGCGGTCGTTCAACTTAAAAGTTAAACGGTTATAGACCAAGGTTAAAGTTGCATGTCTCCAGATGAGCCGAAATAAATGCACTTCAAGAAAATCAAACTTGAGAAAAATGTACAAAGATTTCACGAAACGTAAAAAGATTCGAGTAATAATTTAAATGTTATGTGCGATTAAAGACTGATTTTGCAGTATTCAGCACCATATTTCTACTGCGTGACTAACGCAGTAAGGGCTATTTTTGCATATTTTGACCTCATTTTGGTACTTTACGTGGATTGTAGTTTCAGCTGACAAAAAATTTATAGGCAAATAAAGAAATTCAAAAAATAAACTCTCTATGAGCAATTTGACTTCAAATGCGCACTTTACATGCTAGAAGAAGAACAGAACAGAACAAATCATATATTTTATTTTAGACGTGTTCATTTGACAAGTAGACGGTTATATAAAATGTATATACATATTTTTTCGAAAATTGCCGCAAGACATAATGACGGCGGACGTGTGAAAAGTGTAATCTGTAATAACTGCTTCAGCGAAAATATATGAGCTGGCGAAACAACCATTGTTTGCGCAATATAACTGACAATAGATCATAAAAATATCATTTCCTGTGGCTGGTATTTATTTTGCACATTGTACATTAAATAAATGAGTAAAAATTATCAAATGTGACACTTTGAAGATATTAGGTAAATAAATGCATTATTTGTTGACATACTTAATGCATTAAATATACTCTACTCACGAAATTATACGTTTTTATTGTCATTTTGAAGGAGCTAGAAAATGTAATGTTTTTGAGCACGTGTTAATGTTTTCAGACTTACAATGTGACAAATGAGATTATATCTCTGTCAAAACTAGTACTTTATATTCCATGCTATTACTTTATATTAGATTAAACTTTATAGTGCCAATGTCATTCTATTTCCCAGGTAGTACTTGGACTGATAAATGTATTTCTATGCCCAAGTTAATACTTTATATTGGGAGCCAATGTCAGCCTATGTCCAAGCTCGTTCTAAATATTGGGCTGATATATAAGAGCTCCAATGTTATTCTATGTCCAAGCTCGTACTTTATATTGGGCTGATATATAAGTGCTCCAATGTTATTCTATGTCTAAGCTCGTACTTTATATTGGGCTGATATATAAGAGCTCCAATTTTATTCTATGTCTAAGCTCGTACTTAATATTGGGCTGATATATAAGAGCGCCAATTTTATTCTATGTCTACGCTAGTACTTAATATTGGGCTGATATATAAGAGCGCCAATGTTATTCTATGTCTAAGCTCGTACTTAATATTGGGCTGATATATAAAAGCGCCAATTTTATTCTATGCCTACGCTAGTACTTAATATTGGGCTGATATATAAGAGCGCCAATGTTATTCTATGCCTACGCTAGTACTTTATATAAGAGCGCCAATGTTATTCTATGCCTACGCTAACTAGTACTTAATATTGGGCTGATATATAAGAGCGCCAATGTTATTCTATGTCTAAGCTCGTACTTAATATTGGGCTGATATATAAAAGCGCCAATTTTATTCTATGCCTACGCTAGTACTTAATATTGGGCTGATATATAAAAGCGCCAATGTTATTCTTTGTCTACGCTAACTAGTACTTAATATTGGGCTGATATATAAAAGCGCCAATGTTATTCTATGTCTACGCTAGTACTTTATATTAGGCTGATATATAATAGTGCCATTCTAAGTCCTAGGTGGTACATGTTATTAGACCGATACAAAAGTGTCAATGCTAACTTATTTTAATGGACTGATATAAGAGTGCCAATGTCAATCAATATGGCGGCTTTTATTATATATTGAATTGAAAGTAAAGTATCAGTGTCAAACTTTAAACTAGTATACACTGTGATATTAACATACATTTCTGGAAATATTATTATCTATTTATCATAGATATAAGCCTGTTCTGGCTTTCTAAACTTTTGTACCGATACTTTTCAAGCAGACGACCATGACCCCCGTGTCCGCCATATAAAACGATGTTTCCAATATATAACCCAATTTCCATTTATGACAGTAATGATCTTCCATACAGAAACCGGTCGCATATGGGCACAGAAGTTAAAAATCCTATCGAACATGCCTGTATAAAACAATATTCGTGTTATTTTTATTAACACATATGTCAAAATGACAATTAATGGCGAATCGTGACATGGATATTATCAATTTATTGTTGGTCACTAATTATTATATCTACCATTACACATTAGTGACCCCATTGTTAAATGCTTCCTGCACAGTCAATGGATAAATGGCCACTAAATGATTGACATTTCTTATGAAAGGTTTTTAAAAAGTATAAAAATGACATTTTCTGTGTGTCTATATCTGTTAGTATATAAAGAATCAAAACTTTAAAGACTCATTATGCCCCAGAAATACTTTCATTTTTATTTCTCAAAGCTTTTCAATTCGGCGTACTTATATAGTTTCCAGAATGTTACTCACTTGCCTGTTAACTGACCCATCTTTTTCGCCTATTGCTTTTTGGCAGTACGGAAGTCAAAAATTACTAATTTGTTTACATTTTGGTATTTTTATAACAAATTTTTTTTTCCTTTAGCGTTAATTACTTCAGGTAACAAGCCTCTAACATGCTCTAAATTCATTATTTAAATGTGCTTATTTAAACTCATGCTTACCCTTTATTTTTGCAGTCGTTTCTGAGGAATAATGTGCCTCTAAATCAAATGAAACTTAATACTGTTCATTTATTACTCTTTTATTACCACAAGATAATTAATATATTATTTGTGATTAGCCTCATATTTTTTCCTGGGAAGCTACGTGATTGAAGTACATTTTGTAAAGTTATTTTGGAAAAGAATTAAGGTGAATTGGTCTTCCATTGAAGATCTGTAATACAATAAATAATTACGTTGATAGAATCACGTATCAAACAACAAACCACAAAAGAATAATATATGAGCCGCGTCACGACAAAACCAACGTAATGCGTTTGCGACCAGCATGGATCCAGACCAGCCTGCGCATCTGCGCAGGCTGATCAGGATCCATGCCGTTTGCTATCAGTTTCTCTACTTGTTATAGGGTTTGTAAGCGAACAGCATGGATCCTGATCAGACTGCGCGGATGCGCAGGCTGGTCTGGATCCATGCTGGTCGTAGACCCATTATGTTGGTTTTGTCATGACGCGGCTCATATGTATACGTTGTTGATAAATAAGACATACATGATCCGATATTACATAAAGTTAAATAGCATGTAATAATAAAATGTTGTAGAACAAAATGTTAGAATTATCACATAAATATCTACATGTATACTAAATCACTTAATTGAACTGTTCATGCAATATTTTATAGGAATTTCTGTACGATATTTTCTATTGTTATCTTTATCAGTTTTTGAAGTACTTATGGAGAATGTGCCTAGCTCTTGTAGACCAAGCCATTTTTTAATCGTTTATATCAGATACTGATGACGTGAAAATACATTTGAGCCGTTTCATGACAAAACCAACATAGTGAGTTTGCAACCAGCATGGATCCAGACCAGCCTGCGCATCCGCGCAGTCTGATCAGGATCCATGCTGTTCGCTATCAGTTTCTCTACTTGTAATAGAGTTGGTAAGCGAACAGCATGGATCCATGCTGGTCGCAAACCCATTATGTTGGTTTTGTCGTGGCGCGGCTCATTTGTTGATCTGATCTGATCTAATAGATTTGTAGGGAATCTGAAACGCATGAGGCCCAATTAAGACATATATATGTTCCTGTGGACACTGCGTACATATATTTCTTTTATTGTCGATTTCTAGGATGTATTTTTTCCTGACATTTTGAATTCCCGTTTTTTCACGATTTTTCTCGAGGACACGTTGTAATTTTATTGCAGGAAGTAACGGCATTAACAGCATACATTTTCTGTTAAACCGCGATACAAAGTAGTTTTTTTTTAACTTTTTATAATTCTTCCTTGTTACACTTTGTTTCCGTTCAATAAATTAAGTACTGCCATGGTCAAATCTCGTAGAATACACGAATTTATTAATGATATTCTTGTTTTGGGGACACAAATATGTCAGAGATAAAGGTTACCATGACCTTGAACTCTCTCGCAACAAAGAATATGAGCCACAACCAATGCAATTATTTTCCTAAATATTTAGATATTACCTACAAAGTTTTCGTCCACTATACATCAAATATTGAAAGTGTCTATATATGTCTATGTTCAATAATTTCGTTGATCCCTCAAAAGTCTTCAAACGTAAGTTTCTTTGTAGTAGAGGATATATATGTTTTATCAGATTTTTGCACATTTTTGAAATAAAAGTTTTGACTTACTTATTTATTTACAGGATCCGGTGGTGTCTCGTTTTCATACAGTATGTAGCTCTGTGTGGAGCTTTCACCACTTCACAGCCCGCCAATACATGGGGTGGCGGAGGAATAGATCCATTTTTCGGGGCCTCATGGTGGAACCAACCAAACGTGGGTAACATGTTTCAAACGGCGACACAAATGCCGGAAAACAATCCTTTTGTGGCTCCCGTAAACGTGCCGGCTATCGAGTCACTTGTACCTGCTGAAACCCCGGCACCCGAACCACCAACATACGAAACGGCTACACCTATAAAAGTGACTAAACCCGTCATAAACACCGTGCCGACAGAATCATCCATTTCATTACAAGATCTCCTCAGACTTGCTGTTGGAGGATTAGCTCAACAGGCCAAAGGCGCTACAGATGTTATATCTAGCATGTTTTCTGGAAGTACGGGTTCTGCGGATCCAAAACCAAAGGTACCTGATACAGTATCATCTGGTAGCCCTGTAGGTACGCAAAAATTCGTTACTACGGCTCCACCAGCGAGGATTCCAAAAGTACAGATCAAAGAAGTTCCAACAACAAAGTCAAGCACAACAACAACTACTTCTACAACTTCTACTACAACAACAACAACAACACCAAGACCGACAACCACTACCACTACGACAACACTAAGACCAACAACAACAACCAAGGCTCCTGTGGTCTTGAAAACAGACAAGCCATTAACACAAATGACGCTTGGTGAAATACTGAGGTTACAATCGAAACTGTACCCAGAAACACAACAACCTATTGAAAAGGTAAACTATTCAGCTGATACATTCAATTGCTTTGAACAGCAACTTGTATATACGTTAGCATTTTCGGGGCCCATATTCCGTCAGACTTTTTTTTATTCAAGTCACATGGAAGCACAAATATTGGATAAGTGTTCCGAATGTAAACTCTTAAGAACACCTCGTCTGTTGTTCGAAGTTTGACGGAAAGAGCCGAGAAGATGCGACTGCTTAAAAAAATTGCCTAAATGGCAGGCTTGAGAAAGTTATTGGCTTCCTTCTTTCTATCGTAGAGTATCTGACCTATATTTTGTTAATTCTGACAACATTCCTTTTTTGGTCCTATTGGTAGTATTCTGACCTCATTTGTTTAACAACATAGCTGTACATATTCCCTTATAATGCTTATTCAAAATTTTAATAAAAGAAAGAGCACCGAAACACGAGGTTATCTGATTTGTACGAGGGGGCGTAGCCCCCGAGTATTAATCAGATTACCGAGTGTTTTGGTGTTCTTTCTCTTTTGTATCATAGTCAAACATAAAAACACGTTCCCTGTTGTCACAATATGAAACCCCAGCAAAAATGAACCAATGAACGAACATATGAATATGATATTTCTGTCGCTTTCCCTTTCTCTGCCGTCACAATATGTAAACCCCAGCAAAAATGAGCCAATCAATGGGCATGCTCTGGAGTGCGGGTAACTAATACCCGCACTACAGTTAACGCACTGTGCATGTATATGTATACGATTTAAACCTGACACATTTTCAACAGAAAGGTCTCCAAACTATGATACAATAAATTTTACCTTGATTGAAATGACCTTTCATACCTCTTGTTTTATTTAGATAATTTTTATACTTTTTATACAACTGAATATTTCTTTTGGACGTTAAACTGTTATGATGAGTTCGGTAGTCTCTTTGAATGACAGCTACTCAGTGTATTTATGTCAAGTATAAATTTACATGACTATACCTCCATGACAAAAATTTGAGTTCAGCTTCCTGTCGCGTGACCATATTAATACGAATATTTGGCGTATTGTTGTGAGTTTTATTTTCGGGCAGTTTGTCACCATATTTTTGCTTTTTCTCTGTAAAGTTGGATAATAGAATAACAACATCCGTATATAATATCAAATGTAACACTTGTAGGTAGCCTTTTATCAAGTTTGCTCGTATTAATTTGATTGGCCCCTTTTACGGGCCGCTGAAGCAAAAATTAGAAAAACCTTTGAACATCGTCTCCTACTGAAATAATTGATGGATGTATGATCACCAAATTTTGTCTGTAGCATTCTTAGGTAGTGTTTTATCAAGTTTGCTCATAATAATTTCATTGGCCCCTTTTAGGGGCTGCTAAAGCTAAAAGTAGAAAAACCTTTGAGCATCATCTTCTACTAAAATAATTGATGGATGGTCACCAAACTTTGTCTGTAGCAATCTTAGGCAGTCTTTTATCAAGTTTGCTCATATTAATTTGATTGGCCCCTTTAAGGGGCCACTAATGCTAAAAATAGATAAAAACCTTTAAATATCTGCCCCTGCAGAACTAATTGATGGATGCTCACAAAACTTTGTCTGTAGCATTTTCAGGTAGTCCTTTATCTTTTACTGTAAAGCAGTTGTTTCTGGTTAGCGATTCGGGCCATCACGACCCCCTTGTTTTTTGGTGTTTTTTTGTTTATTTAATTTTATTTTTTTGACATGACGGGACTGGAAACACCTTTCGAGATTATTGCACCATTTACATTTGATGAAGGTCTAGACCAGTGGAGTTCCTTTAAGATGAGTTATAAACATCATCTAAACATAAAAGCATTGGTTTAAAATATATATGTCAAACTTGTGTCCATTCAAAATTTACTTAGTATCATTGAGACTTTGCTGATCGATGCTTTAATGATTAAATTATTATATAAAATAGCACCTATACGAGTAAACCCCAACTAAGCAGAATAGAGCACCATTGACCATTATCAGTAAAACTTCATTTAAAATAGAAGTAATACCCACCAAAATCGGCGGTATTCCTGAAACTATGTTTTAATTATCGGAATATATATTCTAGTCAAAAATACACATTTCTGAATGTTGGAAATTTGCTTTAATTGTATGACATGATTCTTCATAAAATTAGTAAGTTTTTGTAATTTGAATTACAAATATTTAATAGGAAGACGAAATGATGTCGCTTTAGACAATTTAATTTCTTCACGTTGCCACATATATAAAATATTATCTCATTCTTTTTTACTCTTTTCGTCGTTTGTTATGACAACCCAGCATTTATTATCTTTGCAATTATAAACATAAAAGCCATTAACAAAAATAATGAATACTTTCTTACATAATTAGTAAATATGAAGTTATTATGTGGATATATTATTCTCATTAATTTGTTTATTACAAAACAAGTGACAATTACAAGGCATATACATGTAGTTAAATCTATCACATGGCATTTTATAGAATAAAAGTTGCATGTATGTGACTGGCTTATTTATCCGGATTTTGAAGTTCAAGTGCATCAAGATTGCACTAGAAATATACCAATCATTTTCAAGTCAAGAATAGGGACACATGTGTTCATTTCCGCGCTATTTATGGGTTTGGTCAGCGTTCAGGTTAATTAAATATACTACTAAATTCGGAAAGTCTTGCTGATAGTCGGTAAGAACTTTACCGAAGTATGACGGAAAAGACCAAAATGTTGCGATTGCTTTGGGTTTAACCCAAAAGTTGTGTGCGTTGTGGCACTTAATTTTACCAGTACCACGAGTAAACTAATTCAATCGAACCAAACCTGTAATTTTTAGTGAATGCATCTTATGTAATCTCCAACTGATGAGAATGTCAGTCTCTTTTTTTACAACCAAATACCAATATAAATGTTTAACTTACGCAGCAAAGTAATTTTACATGTTTATCTTCTTTTGCAGAAAAGCGGCAGACCGCGTGGTTGTCATTTCAAAGGTAAATTCTATGAGCCTCTTTCTGAAATTGAGAAAGGACAAACCGGAAATTGGTGTTATGGCACGTATTGCAATCACGAAGGAACTGTGGTACATTGGGACGATCATAAATGTACAACAACACAGACTACACCTCCTCCAACACAACCAACCGTGCCAACAGCCCCCGTTACTCAACCAATGATTACCAATCCAGCACAAACGGGCGGAATGGCTAGTTTTATGAATATGGCAGGTATGTCCGGAATGAGTGGAGTAGGCAACATGGCTGGAATGAGTGATATGGCGCGTATCGCTGCAATGATGGCCGGAAATGCAGGATCAAACTCGGGTGGCGGTACTGGTACCAGTGGAACAGGTAACTCAGGAATGGGATGTTTCCATAATGGGCAGTGGTATCGTCCAGGTGCAGATATTGAAAACTTAAGAGACTATGGACGTTGTCATGGAAGTTATTGTAGTTTCAATTCTGAAATAGTCCATTGGAATGATCGTTGTACTGCGACAGTTCCACCTCCAACACCAGGAGGGGGTATGGGAGGTCAGTTTGGCTACATGGATCAGATGGGCATGGCCGGCCAGGGAGGAATGGGAGGAATGTCACAGCTAGCCATGGGTGGAGAAGGTTTTGGTATGGGTGGGGGAGGCATGGGGATGTCGCAGATGGCATTAGGTGGAGAAGGAGGAATGAGTATGTCACAAATGGCATTGGGCGGAGAAGGTGGCATGGGCATGGGTGGTGGCGGCATGGGTATGTCACAGATGGCATTGGGCGGAGAAGGTTTAGGTATGAGTGGGGAAGGGGGAATGGGTATGGGCATGGCTGGACAGGGTGGCATGGGACTTCGGACACAAGGGGGTTTATCAATGAGACAGCTTCAACAATTGGATCTTATATAAATGTAGGCACAATAATAAGAAGGTTAAAAGATAGACTTAAAGACACTCTACCTCAATATTTCGACGCGTTCCAAAATGGCGACTTGCATTGTAGCAACATGCTTTGGTAAATCAGAGGGGTTTGTGAACCAAAGTTCCATAACAAGAGATCCAGAAAAGTTCAATAACTGAATGTGATATTATTGGTCTTATCCTTACCATAGAGGTAGTTTTTTTTATCAAAACTAAATTGAAGCAATTTGTCGAAAGAGAAATGCAATGGAAAACAATTCAAGGAAACCTTAAATCTATTATCCGTATTGATGCAATATGCACCCAATGTTATTCATTGAAAGTTTTTATGAAAACGTTTCAGTTGATTCATTTTTTTTTTTTAAAAAATTTTCATTTTTTGAACCCTTTTACCAAATTTAAAATTAAAGCCCTTTTGCAATCCTTTTGGAAGATCCATCCCACCCTACATATTCGTGATTTTTGGCCGGGTTTAAATGATTTTAATTTACTTTTTTGATACCCCTAAAAATTTATATAAAAATTTCCCCAAAAATTTGGAAGTGGGCAAGCCACAGAAGAATTTTTTAGCATGTTTTAGGTTAATGACTTAATATACAACAAGATGGGTAAAATCACGAATGTAGTCTTGTTTGGGACGGTGTCATTAATGCACTCTGTACGCCCGAATGCTCGTTTGCTAGCGTTAGTAAATCATCTTTGAATGATATAAAAGTCACAAAAATAAGACTTTTTACTTATACTAAATCATAAAGTATCATCTACACAATATCTTCGTCGCGTCACATGTACTTTCTATTTTTAGATACAAACAGAGAAAATAGCATTTTTGTTTTTAGTTATACATTCTTTCTCCTCAAAATGTTCGAATATTGTTTACGAGAAACATATTTAGATTTAATATCTATGTAGTTTATAAACTTTATATTCATTCAAGTTATCTTACAGGCCCATTATTAAAAACTTTGAAAAATTTCAAATTTTTTTCTCTCAAATTTTTTTTTTTTGTTCTTTTTGGGTTTTATTACAGTTTTTTAAACGTTTTCTTTTTGACCATTTTACTAAAACCTTCATCAATTTTTTTGCATTTTTTGGGAGATTGGGGACCCGTTAAGGGGGATAAACAGTTTTGTGGGAAGTGAAAATTTCTACATGTACATGTACTTTATTTACATTTTGCTGCCTTTATTACAAAGTATTTCACATTCATAGCTATTTTTTGCAGCTGATTAGCATAACGAATTAATTATTACGTTGTTATAAAACACATGTTTGCAATTCTTACAGAGAGGAAACAGTAATGAGGCTTAATGTGCCTTTAAAAAGTTTAAAGTTTTATTTTTTTTTATTTTTTTCTTTATATTGTTCAAGCTTGAGAAGAATACTGAAACAATAAAAAAATCAGTTATATGTGGGCATCTTTTTAACTGATTTTCATAATAAATGCATAACATATTGTGCTTGCTTATCACAAACTGTTGTTGTTTGTTGACGTAACACCATATATGTCGTTTCCTTTCGTATCTTACAGCTTAAGTATATTACTTAAGTAAGATACAAAGACAAAGAAATTGGTCAGTAAATAATATTTGTGTTTTTGTGCTATTTTCATTTTTTTTCAAATTGAATTCAAAAGAAAATGATTTTCGTCTTGTTACAAACAGTCATATGGAGTAATATATATCTGAATGAATTTGTTTACATACTGTTTAAAGTGTATGCAAGCGCTTGTCACGAACATATTGTTTTTTGGGGGCTTTTTCATTTCAGTTTAGAGGCAGTTGACAAGCATTGTGTAAAAAAAGAAGTTTAATACATGCGCATATAATTAATCAAAAGGCATTTTGAGCTTTTAACAGTGTTCGAAATGTCGTAGTTATTTGCCAACCTGCGCTATATTTGTAAACTTTAGTTTATTTGTTGTTTTTATGTGTTGTTGTACATTTATGACATTTTTGTAATAAATTTGTCAAAATGCTGCTCGTTTTTTGTATTAATTTGACCGCCATGACCTTGCATGTGTTATTTTGATATGGATGCATACTTCAGTAAAACAATATTAAGTTTGTTATTAAGTCCGTCACGCAGTATGTTTACTTTATAAACCTAGAGACCGTTGCTATTTCAGTCAACATGCATCTTAAGTATAGGTTATATACGGAGTTTTAAGAAATTAATTTTCGAGCGAACGAAGTGGAGCGAGAAAATTATTTTCTTAAAACTCTGTATATAACATATAACCGACTTACAGTTAGCCCTGTCTATTCAAATCGAGTGCACTATGTAAATAGGCGGAGTCCATTAAATCGGCTCATTAAATATATTTAATACATACAGTTGAGTTACAGCACTGTATGGAAAATATTTCGGCAAAATTTAAACAAAATAGAGCGATTTCATTGGCAGACAAACTTTGGCGAACTGTAATTAAAATATGATGAACGCAAAATGTGTACATATTTCAATGACTTACAACTTTTAACACCTTAAAGTGATTAGCCATTGCAACCAGTATAAAGACAGACCAGGTTGCACATTAATTGGTGCAATTAAAATGTGGATCGAACTGCCCGGGTTTGATTCCAGGACTGTGCAGGTCAATTTCGTTGTGATTGATCATGAAATCCTTTCTACGGTTATTCGCACTGTACCTCTGCTCTGGCATGTACAGAAGTTATCAGTTCCTTGCGAAAGTAAAGGCATCTAGAACTGCTTGACAGCCAGCCCAGAAACGATGCTGTGGCTAAACTGTGCTCTGGTGATATAATAGTGGCTTAGAGCCGTGATCCAAAGGCAAACACAAAAAAACACCCACCATTTGTACAGTATGACACGTTGTTCAATACTTTGACTTGAATAACTTCTTGATATTCCAAAATTTATAACAGTTCTGGAAATGGAAGCTGGACAAGTTCATTCAGAAATTATTAGTTAAAGCGCCACGCGCAATTTTTAACTTAGGCAAAGAAAGAAAATTTAAACTCGTTCAAATATTTTTTTTTTAAACTTTGCATGATTAAGGAAAATGATAATTGGTATAAATTTAGGTCCATAAATTTATGGAGAAATGGGGTCACCGTCCTAGTTGTTTAGTTACTTTGCCTTAAAAGTGTTTCAACTTCGAGTCTTTAAGGTCCTTTGCAAGATAATCAATATATTTTAGCTATTGGAGTTTCTTACAATTTACAATTTCATTTTTAACGCTCGTAAAATAAAACTAAATGAGGTAGAATTTTGGTTATAAAAATTGAAAATTCACTCTTGTGGTATTTGTACGTGAAAGACTAATTGAAAGCGCCACTCTTCATATTCAATGTACTTTGATTTTCTGAAAATTCTTTACTCACCATTTGGCATGTAGCTTGAAAGTGAAATATAACTTCACAAGCATGGAAATTAATATGCTAACTCTGGATTGCTGAATGAAAATGCCTACAAAGATATTCGCATTTATCATCATCATAATCATCATCATCATCATCACCTGTCCATCACCATCATCATCATTGTCATTATTATTATTATTATTATTATTATTATTATTATTATTATTATCGTTGTTGTTGTTATTGTTATTATTATTATTATTATTGTTGTTGTTGTTGTTGTTTGACAGCACTCATCAAAACTTAAATTAAAACATCTTACGACCAACACTTAGAACACATACTAAACCTTGATGACTATGATCCCACAGACACTCACTTAAAAAAATTTAAACAAGATTTCCAAAATGTAACAACTCTCAAAGACCAAACAACAGGCTATCTTAAATCAAACAACTTCAACAAGGCCAATATATTGAACACGCAGTTCGAATCAGTGTCTCCACTGTCTCTAAAACAAACTTGCCTGCAAAATCTCTATTACCCTGACCCCCAAAAATATCGTTAATACCCTCAAATGGATGATATATCTGTCAGCAATAGCATGGTGCTAAAACTTCTTGCCAACCTAAAGATAGACCAAGCTGCAGGCCAAGACCTTGTTCGGCCAGTTGTGCTCAAAGCATCAAAATTCTATTCCAAAAATCTTTATCCTCTGGTACAATTATTCCCTCTGACTGGACCAAAGCCTATGTTTGCCCTATTTACAAAAAAGGTGACAGCACAGATCCAGCCAATTACTGACCGGTTTCATTAACTTGAATCCTTTGCAAAACGCTTGAACACATTGTCGTTTCACATCTCTCTTCACACTTCAGTAATCACAACATTCTCTTCGACCTTCAGCATGGCTGTAGGGAGAAACGTTCATGTGAAACACAGCTTATTGAAATCACGGACACCCTTGTCAACAACATCTCAGCAGGCAAGCAAACAGATCTTATTCTCCTTGACTTTAGCAAAGCCTTTAATAAAGTAAACCCCCGTAAACTACTCCTTGCCGTTCAAGAAAGCGGTGTCTCCACACAAATTCTCAATTGGACACGTTCCTTCCTGATAGGTCGGAGTCAAACTGTTGTACTGGATGATAAACACTACAGAAGTCCCTGCAAATTCTGGCGTCCCCCAAGACTCTGTCCTCGGCCCACTCACTCTTTTTATCTATATAAATGAACTTCCATCTTCTGTCTCCAAGTCTCAAATTCGACTCTTTGCAGATGACAATGTGGTTTACATTACTATAAACTCGTCCTCAGACTCACAATCCCTACAGGAGGATCTCAAAAAGATGCAAATCTGGAAAAGGGGTTGGACATGGAATTCAACCCATCAATATGCCAAACCCTTCACGTCACTTAAAACAAAAAACAAAACAAAAATCATCAACAAAAAGTACTTCCTCCATGGCTAAGCTTTAACATCAGTTTCTAGCTCAAAATACCTTGACCTTGACTTGTCCGCAGACTTAAACTACAACACACACATATCAAGAATTACATCAAATGCAAGTAAAACCCTAGGATTCATAAAACGAAATATCAATACATAAATGAAAAAGGTGAACCAACTAGCTTATAAATCCCTAGTAAAATCCCAGCGAGAATATTCATCTACAGTTTCTGTTTGGAGCCCCTACACTGTCAAACATCCATAAAATAGAGATGCTCCAAAGACGAGCGATACGCTGGGGAAGACATACTCCCCCGTGTCATCAGTTTCAGCCATGCAGAAAGAAACCTCTCTCTTAGGTAAATACAGGTTACATCAGACTACCATAAGTTCTCGTTTTTCCCCCACTGTATCACACTTTGGAACCAGCTCCCAAGGAACATTGCCACCCTGCCTGATCTAGATCAATACAAACAGGCAGTGGTTAAGATACAGTATTAGTTGACTTGTTGTGTTTTTACTTTTAAATCTTTCTTTCACCCTTACTAATAAAAACATTTTAACAATGACTTGAAGTTTTCAATGTCTCTCACTGTCCTGATCATGTTTATTTTCAGGTTTTTACTTTCTCTCACACCTTTCACTAACACACCCGACGCACACTATTCCTGCGAATGGGGTTGGCAGTACTCAGAGATAGATAGCTAGATTGTTATTATGATTATTATCATTATTTATTAAATTACTGTTGTTGTTGTTGCTGTTGTTGTTGTTGTTATAATCATTATTATTATTATTATCATTATCATCATTATCATTATTATTATTATTATTATTATTATCATTATTATTATTATTATTATTATTACGGGGAAGGGCCCGGGCTTTGGCTTGCCCGGCTATAGACTACACGTGTATATTTAAAAGAAAATTCAAATAAAAAACAATTAAAAGATATATAGAATTCTATACCTATCAATGAAATTCTCAGTGTCAGTTGTAGATAGTCGCCGCCATTTACAATGTAACTCAATGATAAAAGGCGGCGTATTCCGATAACGTAACATATCTCAACTTTTCGGATTATTAATAATCGTCGAGTGTTCCGAGTGAAAACGGAAGTGGGTACATATTATACCGAATGACACCTTTAAAACGGAAAAATGAAAGGATTTTTTACCGACTTCCCCGTTCATAGGCTTTGCCTAATATTATTATTATTATTATTACAAGTACAATTACAAGATTGACACAATTTTAATACTTATAATGAATAATGCTATATGCAATTGTTGTTATACCAGCAATAGATATTTTATGCATGCATGATGATGCAACGCCTAGTACGCCGTACCGAAATAACGGGAGATAGTAACGCATTAGAACGGGATTTACTAAAGAAATTCAACATGGCGCCGAAAGGAAAATCGGGAGCGAGTAATGCAGATTTAAAGCAAGAAGATATTGTACAGGCAGTTGTCTTTGCTGACAGCTTCAACACTAACTTTTCACCAATTTCCCATGATAAACCAAGGGTACTTATGAGTTTCATTTTCTTATTTGATGTATAAATCGAATGTTTTAATATGAAAAAGGCAAAGCCTCAAAGCGAGCTCGATGCACTTTTTACGTGAAATAGTATGAAATAATCGCTCAATTTTATTTCAAATGCAGTAACGAGTGCGTGTGACGTCACACGTACTGTGTTAAATATGGCTCCGCCCCTGTCGTGAAATGAATAACGAGTTTTGAAAACGTTGATAAAACTTTGTTTATTTTGTTTCACTCTATAATTTTTCAAGCGAAATAAAGATTATCTAAAGTGAAATAAATGTAAAACTTAAAACGTTTGCGACATTAAAATAGCGTACTTGATTTGTTTGTTTTGCACGTGCTGTTTGGCGCTACATTGTGACGTCAAGTAAACAATACTTTAAACGTCTGTACAGCGTTAACGACTGAATAAAAGATATTGGTGTTCGGATTCATTTTCTTAATTAGACCATTTTCTTTCATTCTAGATAGTTTTCACAACAAAATTCGACAAAAAATTGTTCTTATTTATCATATTTTTCAAACAAAATGGCGCCTTCAATTATTATTTTTTTATACACAGCTTCCGTTATTCTGGTTCCCTGTCCAACTATGGTTCCCATAGACGTGCGCGGGTGACCAGTCTAGACATCCGTTTTCAGTCAGAATTCCTCAGTTTTTATCGTTATCTTTAAATTCGAAAGGTTGCGATGTGTCCAATTCGGTACTTTGGACGAAAGTTTTCAAAACCATCACTTAGCAGGTACTCGCGTTACCGTAAAGCTCGCTTTGCGAGCAGGCCCTTCGGGCCAGCTCGTCGAGCTCGCTATAAACCTCCATATGTTAGCGATTGTGGGTGGGGTAAGGAATATGATGCAATATTTTGGAAATCTTTAAGTCACAGGTAACCATATAATGTAATCTGTAGCCTACTCATAAGATAAAATATGTTTATTCTTTGCCAGTGCAATTATGATACCAAGTCAACATATTTGATTCAACAACGAGTTTGATTTCCTTGATGAAAGCACAGACACTTGGGGTTATGTGCATGGCTCCCCTTCTTGATCCGCACTTGTATACACCATGCCTATTTTTATCGTGCAAACGGTACGTCAAAATATTTTTGCATTTTATTACGACCTGGTCACATGTCTTGAACATAAAACTTGTTTTCCGCTATTTTAACCACGTTTAAAAAAGTCCCTAGAATATCATAATTTCATAAAGATAACAACGTACGCTTTCCTTTGATGTGAGACAACTGGAATGAGTCTCGGCACTGTTTTGCGCTTTCATTTTCATGCCGAGAACCAAAACCCCGCAGCGGTTACTTCCCCTAACAGTACAGAAACCAAATCAAGAAGACTGACGGAAAGGGCCGAGTAGTTGCGATTGCATTTCTTTTTCCCAGCGATTTTCCCGCTGTAATTTACGGGAAACATTCCAGTCGTCATGAATTCGTAAAGAAGCATGTGGCACGGTTAGGAAAATGTAATTAAATGTGTAAAGCTTGGAAGAAAGGTGCGATCTGATAATAACATGTATTTATTTATTAAAGGAATATATGCATAGACTGATTTACACCAGAAATAAATGGCATGCGATAACATAAATACCTGAAACATATGTAGGTCAGTTGTGTTTGCATTTCGAAGCTTGGATCTTCAGGAAATTTAAGCGTTGGTAAAGAATTGACTTTTTTAAAACGTTATGAAATTCTATTCAAACTTGTTCATGTGTTAGACACTTAACCGTCTCATACTAATATAAGCACAAATTTAAAACTAATTCTTGTAATAAACAATACTTTTAGTTTTTAATATTCAGGGGCGGAGAAGGGCGGGGTCCATACTCCAAGTGTCTGTGGATGAAAGCTTTTGTTGAGCATTCAACAGTGTTCAAGTTTCTATGCTGATCAGAACTTTGAAAACTTTATTGAATTCTAAACATTTATAAACCTATAGAATTTTTTTATATTTGTGTAAGATAAAAGTAATGTTAATGTCTGTATGAAAGTTGCATTATTGATGATGATTTTTTATTCTGAAAAGGCGTATGAAAGTCTAAACTAGTAAAATGTGTTGTTATTATTATTTACATTGTTAACTGTATATTGATATAATTTCAGGCATTATTTCCAGTGGCTAACACTGCACTTCTAGACTATACTTTAGAATTTCTGTGTTCTGGAGGAGTTCAAGAGATTTTTGTTCTCTGTTGTCACCATGCCAGTCAAGTTAAAGACCACCTTAGGTAATTCATGTAAACTAATCCTGTTTTAATAAAGGAGGTTTTTTATGATATCTTTGCCTGCTTAGGTCAATAGAGAGTGTCGACTTTGTAACCTTGATCATCAGTTGTGGCAAAAAAATTTCTGTGACAATCTTTGACATTGAGTCTAATGATCATTTTTGTGTCGCCATTAGGGAGTAGTTGTTGACATATAGGGATCACTTCTCCGTCGTCTGTCTGTCCGTCCGTCACAAAACTTGTCCGGACTACTCCTCATAAACTACTGGTGCAATTTCATCCAAATTTTACAGGAATTATCAGTACCAAGTCTAGTTGTGCATATTGTCAGCATTTTCCGGTTCAATGATATTTGTAAGAGTTATGGCCCTTTAATAATTTTTATTTTTAAAGTTTGTCCGGACTACTTCTCTTATACCACTAATGCAATTTCAATGAAACTTTACAGGATTGATCTGTAGCTCAAGTCCTTGCGCATATTGCACGGGTTTTCCGGTTGAATGATTTTTGGCCGAGTAATGGCCCTTTGATAAAAAGGTGTTTTTTTCTGTGTGGTGCCAGATACACAAAAGCTTGTCCGGACTACTCCTCATAAAATACTGGTGCAATTTCATCCAAACTTTACAGGAATGATCAGTACCAAGTCTAGTTGTGCATATTGTCAGCATTTTCCGGTTCAATGATTTTTGTAAGAGTTACGGCCCTTTAATAATTTTTATTTTTAAAGTTTGTCCGGACTACTTCTCTTATACCACTAATGCAATTTCAATGAAACTTTACAGGATTGATCTGTAGCTCAAGTCCTTGCGCATATTGCACGGGTTTTCCGGTTGAATGATTTTTGGTAGAGTTATGGCCCTTTGATAAAAAGGTGTTTTTTTCTGTGTGTTGCCAGATACACAAAAGCTTGTCCGGACTACTCCTCATAAACTACTGGTGCAATTTTATCCAAACTTTACAGGAATGATCAGTACCAAGTCTAGTTGTACACTGTCCGTCTGTCTGTCCGTCTGTCACAAAACTTGTCCCAACATGAAATTGGCCATCATGAGGCGACACATGTGATCACTGATTGCTCTTGTTTCTCATATCATTTGGGATTAGTAGTCGGTCACTTGCACAGAAATTGTAAATAATTGGTAAGTTGTCCAGGAAAGACGGTTTGGTGGACTGCCAGCCAAAATATGACAAAAAATGTGAGAATCTGACATGCAAATAGGTTATCATACTCATGATAACTCAGTGTGTGTCTGTTTATTTGAAGTAAAGTTAAGATAGCATCAATTATACTGACTTTATTGTTTAAAAATTGCCAATTGATTTTTATTAATAGAAACATAATGCATTAGAATCTTAAATGTCACAAGAAGTTTTGTAAGGGATTCTTGCTACAGAGTGAAGAGTCCTATTTATTTTTTGTTCAAGTTATTAGAAGCAGTTATATGCATAAATTGTCATTAGGAGTTTTTCGTGAATTAATTGACAAAGTGATATAATTATTTAATGGAATTCATGTCAAAATGAGTTAAGTTAGAGAGTCAGTTAGAATTATATTGAATCATTTATAGGAATTCTCGTTGGATAGAGAAGAGTTCACCATGCAATGTTGTACCAATAGTATCTGAAGGTTGTATGTCGATGGGCGATGCGTTACGGGATATCGATGCAAAGAGCCTTATTCGAAGTGATTTTGTTTTAATCTACGGAGATGTTGTTTCTAATATTAAACTACAGGGTATAATGGAAGCTCACAAGTAAGTTCTTTCTTTCTGAAAATATTTTAGTTTAATCGTTATTATACCTCAATAGCTTACACAAATTATGTCTTCAAGTCTGTCTGTCTGTCTGCTCCCATTAAGCTTGTGTTGCGTTTTACAGATCAAACTGCTGGCAGGATTTCTACAAATCTTCACAGAAGTTTTCAGACCCAAACCTAGTTAACTATGGCATATTAACGGTGCATTCTGCTTTATTGCACAAAATGGCCACCAGAGCTAAAAATAGAAATGCATAATTAATTAAGATAGTAAATCTTCACAGAAAGTTTGACATAAGATTATCTTTATTTTTTTACTTGAATGTCACCGATGTAAAGATTAGATAACTCGAGAACAGATAAATGTCATAATTCAATATTATATGTTTTAATTTGTATATATGATACAGACAGAGACGTGAGAAGGATAAATCTGCGATCATGACGATGGTGTTCCAGCAGGTACCCCCGGGACATAGGACGCGATGTGCTCAAGACGATATCGTACTGGCTATAGATAATCAAACTCAAAATGTCATACATTATCAGAAAGTAGGAGAAACTGGGGACAGTAGATTTCAATTCCCTGTGGTAAGTAAAATAGAATAATAATTGCTATGTAAACATGCTTGATTTATTGGTTTAAAACAGGAAAAGTCACTTAAATTTTTTTTACTGATGGTGGGTTGAGGGTTAAAGGAACATGTTCTTACTTGTAGCATGAATGTTTTTCAGTGAAGAAAAATATAGGTATTATTATATAAGGACCATTTAATGGAGTATTGATATAAGTCATATATATATTGTATGTTATTAGAATGATATCATCAAGGGCGGCAAAGTGAAAATTAATTGTCCGTATTGCCCAGGTTGTTGTAAGTTGTTGTAAAATTCTTAGATAAAAACGGACAAGTAAGTCAAAATCAAATTTTGCCGGCCCTGGATGTCATCTAAAAATTAAAGAGAATTGTTTTGAGAGGGGTATTTAAGACTTTCTTTAAATAAACTTTTTCACCCTTTTCATCACCTGCCGTTCCCCACCCTACAGTGTCAAATCAGTGATTTTATTTTGACATACCTGTTCTGACATACCAGTTCACATTTTGTGTTAATGTGTTACATTTTGACAAACCGATACACATTTTGTGTAAACATATTTTAACATAAATTTACACACAATTAGGAAGTGATGACATCACACAAGGACGTTCAGATACGGTATGACCTGCTCGATGCCAACATCAGTATATGTTCCCCGCAAGTTCCACAACTCTTCACGGATAACTTTGATTACGAGACGAGAGACAACTTTGTTCGGGGTATTCTCATTAATGAAGAGGTACAGCATAATGTTTGTTTTTATTTTTAGGTCCTCATATTTTGTCATGTAGATAGTTGTATATTTTGACAGTTGTGTTAGTTTAAATTTCAATCTTTAAGTTTGACTGTGACAAGAGCTGTTAGTTATTTTGAGTCGACTTCTTTCAGTTGCCATTATGTGTATGTTATAATACTGCACATATGTAATGCTTATCATTATGCATATATTATCTTTTACCACAGGAGCTTGAAATTTTATCAATAATCGTTCTAAAGTCTGATTAAAAAAAATCCAATATAAAGCTCCTGTGCTTTTACATAGCAGCTTCAAAAAAATTACGAATTATTTTTAAGACAAAAGAAAGCATTTGGACATTATTATACCGTTGGTTATTAAGACAGAGTAAGACTTTTGTCAGGTTAATAATCATTTCATACCTGCAGCTAGACAAGTTAATGTTACAAATTCAGCACAGTAAGGGCTATTTTACGTGACACATCATTTACAAGACACATGTTTTATAGATTATGGGTAACACAATACAAATGCATGTAGTCAAAGATGCCTATGCTGCCAGAATTTCCAACCTACAAATGTATGATGCTGTGAGGTATGTTGTTATGTAGCACTTGTTTATTAATGTAGCAGTTATATGCAAGGTGATTCTTATTCATTAAAGATTTCCTCAATATTATCCTTCAGTGATTTTTCACCTTATATAACAGTGGTCTATAAAAGGCTCTTTCCTTGTTTATAAAAGGCTTTTTCCCTTTGAAATTTCCTTTAAAATCATGAAGTTTTCCAAAAATGTCAACTAAATCATCTTTTTTTATATTCCAAATCAGCAATTTTATTGAGAAAGACCACTGATTTTACTCAGCACAAATTTGGGCCATAGAAAAAACATTATATTCTATCTTTTATTGAAGTAAATACATTAATATTTCCAAAAGTGAACCTTTAAAAAAAATGGTTGAGAAAAAATCTTACAGTATATTACTGAATATATATTACTGATGTGTTATCTTTAATATATGTGTTTACTTCAAGAGATGTAAATATCGATTCATATGTCTTGCATTTGATTAATATTTATTTGAAAATTCACATATTTTACTGGCATATGTTATATGTGTTTATCATTTTTGAATTGATTGATATATTTTCAGTCAGGACATATTAAACAGATGGACGTTCCCGTTTGTACCGGACAGTTGTTACCGACATAATAAAGATAGTATTTCATACGGCAGACATAATGTTTATATGAGTAAAAATGTTACACTGGCAAGGTAACTGTTTCTACAATACATGTATGAATAGATTATAGGTGATTATAGTTTTGACAAAAGTTGAATATAAAAGAAGTTATCAGTTTATATAAATATACAATGCATCTTACTTAGCCTTGAGGCACAACACCACCCAGCTTCCCCTTAGTTCAAGATTTGTAGTCAAGGTATGTACCGCAGAGACATGGCTAAAAATAAATAAAATTGGCATTAAAACCAAGCAAACAAACAGTATGATGGACACAAGATATACACAGATATTATATTTGATGCCCAAGTACCTAATTATTAGTTTTCAGATTGAAATACAAGTTTATATAGAAGCGTACAACCAGTTATACTGACCCTTATAGCCAGCTAAATGTTTTTATAACATATGAGCCGCGCAATGACAAAACCAACGTAATGCGTTTGCGACCAGCATAGATCCAGACCAGCCTGCACATCCTCGCAGTCTGATCAGGATCCATGCTGTTCACTTACAAACCCTATTACAAGTAGAGATACTGATACATTGTTGATAGGGAACAGCATGGACTGGATCCATGCTGGTCGCAAAGGCACTAAGTTGGCTTTGTCATGATGCGGCTCAATTATATTGAAATAATGAATTTTCAGAGAATGTAAGATATTGGAGAATGTATTATTAGGGAATGGTTCATCAGTTGGAAGCAATACAGTCATCACACATTCTGTCATTGGCAGAAATTGTACAATAGGTAAAACAATTTACTCTCGGTCTCTATAAAAATATGTTTGTATTAAAGGTAGATGAGGTTATTTTGATTTTATCAGCAATGCTCTTCAAACATACATGTATGATTTCACGTTTGGAGGACAAATCCATTTTAAATTAATGAAAGTTACCCTTTTCTGGTATTTTTTAACAGTGGTATAAAAACAGAGGTTTGTGAAAAGGCTCCATCTTGCCATTGGAACCATCCAAACATTCTTTCTGAATATCCCAATTTGTAAAAAATCGACTTTTACATGTAAAATGTAGTTTTAAAAAAATTAATTGTTAAATAAAGGTATTCCACCTAAAGCTTTAATTAGTTTACAAATGCTGTATGTATGCCATTATGATTGTAAGTGTATAGTGAATTTAATTCAAGGAAAAGTACACACTGTACTATTGAAACATCTTTAATCTGCGATAACGTTACTGAAATAAAAATGATATGAGCCTCGCCATGTTCCTTACAGACCAGCCTGCCCATCTTCGCAGTCTGATCAGGATCCATGCTGTTCGCTATCAGTTTTGCTACTTGTAATAGGGTTGGTAAGCGAACAGCATGGATCTTGATCAGACTGCATGGATGCGCAGGCTTTTCTGGATCCATGCTGGTCGCAAACGTATTATGTTGGTTTTGTTGTGATGTGGCTCATATCATTTCTGAGGCAAACTAGGTCTTTAAACTTAAATTAGTTTATAAATGGTGTATGTTAACCAGTGTGATTGTAAAATTAATGTATTGTTAATCAAATTTCAGGTAAAAATGTGACTATTAAAGGATCCTACTTATGGGATAACGTTACAATAGAAGACAACTGTACTATTGAAACATCTTTAATCTGTGATAATGTAACTGTCTATGAAAAAGTTAGTCTCTGTCCTGGCTGTGTTCTCAGTTCCAAGGTATGTCTCAAAATCATTTAACTTTTCACAATGACTGTGAATATCATGCATTTTTTCATTGTAGCAAATATTTAGAAATTAGAAATACCTGTTTACTAAATAAGTATAATTCCATAACTGAATTAGATAACTTTTATGAATTACTTTCAACAAATGATGATTTTTGTTATTAAGGAAATTGATGCTTATCTTCAGCACCTCATGATCTCTATAGCACAGTTGATAATTACTTGAAATAAGAATTTTGTATGACTTACAACACAACCTTAAAACGTTAAACATTACATTTTGTACGATATGTATTTTGGGATGGTGGCATTTATTTTTAGCTCACCTGTGACAAAGTGACAGGGTGAGCTTTTGTGATCGCTTTTCGTCCAGCGTCCCTCCGTCGTCCGTCCGTCCGCACTACCGAAAAGGGATAGGGGGCCATCTAACTGTAAACAGAACAAAAGAGAACAATAGAGTTCATTCCGTAACAATAGAGTAAGGGGCCATTGGCCCTCTATTAAACAATAGAAAATAACAAAAGAAATGGCCCCTTATTCCATTTCGGCCGGACGTCCGTCCATCCGTAAACTTTTGCTTTAAATGACATCTCCTCATAAACCACTGAGCCAATTTCATCCAAACTTCACAGGAATGTTCCTTTGGTGGTCACCTTTAAAAATTGTTCAAAGAATTTAATTCCATGCAGAACTCTGGTTGCCATGGCAACCGAAAGAAAAATCTTTAAATATCTTCTTTTAAACAACCCTAAGAGCTAGAGCTAAGATATTTGGCATGAAACATCTTCTAGTGAGTGTCTACCAAGTTTGTTCAAATAAAAGCCCTGGGGTCAAAATTGGCCCCACCCTGGGGGGTCATTGATTTTCCCTAACTGCATATTGAAAAAACTTAAAAAATCTTCTTTTAAAGAACCGTAAGAGCTAGAGCTAAGATATTTGGCATGAAACATCTTCTAGTGAATGTCTACCAAGTTTGTTCAAATAAAAGCCCTGTGGTCAAAATTGGCCCCGCCCCATGGGGTCATTGATTTTCCCTATATGCATATAGTAAAAACTTAAAAAATCTTCTTTAAAAGAACCGTAAGAGCTAGAGCTTAGATATTTGGCATGAAACGTCTTCTAGTGAATGTCTACCAAGTTTGTTCAAATAAAAGCCCTGGGGGTCAAAATTGACCCCGCCCCAGGGGGTCATAGATTTGCCCTATATGCATATAGTAAAAACTTAAAAAATCTTCTTTTAAAGAACCCAAAGAGCTAGAGCTAAGATATTTAGCATGAAACATCTTCTAATGAGTGTCTTCCAAGTATGTTCAAATAAAAGCCCTGGGGTCAAAACTGGCCCTGCCCGGGGGGGTCATTAATTTTCCTTATATGTGTATAGCAAAAACTTAAAAATCTTCTTTGAAAAAAACCCAAATAACTAGAGTTTAGATATTAAGCATGAAACATCTTTAAGTAAATATCTACAAAGTTTGTTCAAATAAAAGCCCGGTGGTCAAAACTGGCCCTGCCCCAGGGGTGTCATTGTTTTTAACTATATGTGTATAGTAAAAACTTTAAAAAATCTTCTTTTAAAAACCCAATGAGCTAGAACTTAGATTTTTAGCATGAAACATCTTCTTATGGGTGTCTACAAAGTCTGTTCAAATAAACAAATAAAAGCCCTTGGGTAAAATTGGCCCGGGGGTGGGGGGGGGGGGCTATATACAGGTGAGCGACCTCAGGGCCATCATGGCCCTCTTGTTTGAATAAATCAATTGACTTGACTTGGTATGTGACAAAGATTTTCTAACCTCCCAGTTGTTACATAACTTTTTAATTCACTGGTATGTGAAATATAGATTTTCTGATCTCCCAAGTTTAGTTAGGTACCAATTCCTTCCAAACCATCAATAATGTAATATAATCAGTCTGTTAACGTCAACATTTTTATATAATCAATCTGTAAACATCAATATTTTAATAGTATCAATATGTAAACATACATATTTGAAGGTAACTGTTGGACCAGGTGTTGAGTTGAAGACAGGCACAATTGCTGTATCTAAACTAGAGGATGATGACTTTGGTGACGAACTGGATGCTACAGATGGTGGTAATGTCATCATTTATTTACAACATTAAATCTTTCAGACTTCAGTGGTCGAGAGGTTATGGTTGTTGACTTCAAACCACTTGCCTTTCACTGTTGTAGGTTTGAGCCGCTCCAGACTCTTAAAATTTTTCCATATGAGAAAGCTATCCAGCTAGCTTACAGATCATCTTTGGTTTTACTCGGAAGCTTGTTTGTGCCTGAATAATGCTTAAAGTGGCACCTAAGTTTTTCGTCCACCATTAAAGCTTGAAAGTCGCCGTTTGACCTATACTGTGTTGATGCGACATAAAACCCATCCAAAAAAAAAATAATAATTTTCAAACCTTGACAGAGCTTGATTTGATAATTAATTATCTTTGTCATTAGTAAAGACTCAGGCCAGTCTGCATCTGTATACTTCTGGTTATCTATTTTTATACCCCCGCACAACAAAGTTGTAAGGGGGGTATACTGGAATCAGCTTGTCCGTCCGTCCGGCTGTCCGTCCGTCCGGCCGTCCGTCCGTCCGGCCGTCGGTTTTTTCTTGTCCGCCCAATAACTTAAGATTCCTTTGACCCTTAGTCTTCATATTTGGCATGGAGGTTAGTCATGATTAGTAGATGACCCCTATTGATTTTGAGGTCACTAGGTCAAAGGTCAAGGTCACAGGGGCCTTGACTTCAAAAAGCTTGTCCGCCCAATAACTTAAGATTCCTTTGACCCTTAGTCTTCATATTTGGCATGGAGGTTAGTCATGATTAGTAGATGACCCCTATTGATTTTGAGGTCACTAGGTCAAAGGTCAAGGTCACAGGGGCCTTGACTTCAAAAAGCTTGTCCGCCCAATAACTTAAGATTCCTTTGACCCTTAGTCTTCATATTTGGCATGGAGTTTAGTCATGATAAGTAGATGACCCCTATTGATTTTGAGGTCACTAGGTCAAAGGTCAAGGTCACAGGGGCCTTGACTTCAAAAAGCTTGTCCGCCCAATAACTTAAGATTCCTTTGACCCTTAGTCTTCATATTTGGCATGGAGGTTAGTCATGATTAGTAGATGACCCCTATTGATTTTGAGGTCACCAGGTCAAAGGTCAAGGTCACAGGGGCCTTGACTTCAAAAAGCTTGCCCGCCCAATAACTTAAGATTCCTTTGACCTACAGTAGTCATATATGGCATGGAGGTTAGTCATGATAAGTAGATGACCCCTATTGATTTTGAGGTCACCAGGTCAAAGGTCAAGGTCACAGGGACTTTGACTTCAAAAACTTTGTCTGCCCAATAACTTTAGATTCCTTTGACCCACAGTCTTCATATTTGACATGGATGTTGATCATGATTAGTAGATGACCCCTTTTGATTTTGAGGTCACTGGATCAAAGGTCAAGGTCATAGGGACTTTGACTTCAAAAAGTTTGTCCACCCATTAACTTAAGATTCCTTTCATATTTGGTATGGATGTTGATCATGACTATAAGGTGACCCCTATTGATTTTGAAGTCACTGGGTCAAAGGTCAAGGTCACAGGGACCTTGATAAAAAAAAGCTTTTCTTCTCAATTGCTAAAGAATGTCCTGTCCGCAATGTATTTATTTTGACATTTTCACATTTGAAGCATGTAGAATACATAACTTAGCAATGCACTGGCTTAGTAACCTCAGATTTGGCAGGGAGGTTGTCCTTGAGCTCTAAATGGCCACTGTTGATTCTGACAAAGTGGTATGCGGGGGTATTCACGCCATGATAGTGGCAGTTCTAGTTTCTTTAGTTTATCTTTAGATAAAAACCAACTAAACACAGAAATTTTATTTATTTTCGAATTTCAGCTGATACTGAGGCTATTTATGGAAACAAGTCGAAGGCATTTACATATAAAGATACCGATGCCGACTTGAGTGATACAGAAGAAGTAACTAAACAGATCTGGGGACTGGTAGTAGAGTCGGAGAGCTCGGATGATGATGATGACAGTGATAAGAGTAGCGAGAGCGGTTCTGAACCAGGCAGTTTATCACCAGATGGTACGTAATGTGTTTTGTAAGACTCCAGTAACATCCCTAGATTGCCTTTTTTGTCCTTTTGACTGTGGTATTTTTCATCCTTTGGGAATGTGTCTGATGGGGCTACTTTTTGATCTTCAGACTCGTTAGATGGAAAAATAGCAATTTTTGATATTGGGCAAGTTATGAATTTATGTCATAGGGTCCATATACAAGACTTATAGGCCTGTCACAAGAAGGGGGATTATAGTGATAAAAATATTGCATTTGACAACTATGTATGGGAATCTTTGGTAGACTTTGATAAAAAGGTTTTATGTTGTTGTTTACATTTGTTAGAAAGCTTTTGGGAATTTGAATGCCTCATAGTATGGGAATTTTTATGCATTAGGATTTTTCATTGTACTTAGTTAATATATTTGTGATATGGGTACTATCATAGATGCTGTATATTCATAAAATTCTTCCTAATTATCATAACTGCAGTGAAATTTTTCAGCATTCGGGGTATTGTGCAAGAGCCTTTCGGTGAATAAAATTGCTTTTCAGTTACTATATTCATAGGTAATGGAAATACAAGCAATGTTTATAATTACCTTTATTTCTAAATAATTACCTTCATTTGTAATAATTATAATTAAAGACATTATAAAATTGTTCTTTAAATATCAATAACTACAGAAAGTAATCAAATTTCTGTTTGAACACACTTATATAGGGCTTCCATTGACTTTCAAAATTTGGAAAATGTCTGACATTGGAAGTCACATTATATACATGTGGGTAAAGAAGGGAAAGCATTACATTTTGGAAGTCACAAGCCAAAATCAAGGAGTAAATTACCCCAAAACTTCCATTTACAGAGGCCATTTTTAGCTCGACTATTTGAAGAATATGAGAGCTATTGTAGTCTCCCCGGCGTCGGCGTCAGCGTCCGCGTCGGCGTCTGTGTTGGTTAAAGTTTTTTGTAAAATCAAATATCTCAATTATTACTTGAGATATTCAATTGAAACTTACAATACTTATTTATAGTAACAAGGTACATCAGATTGACAACTTGGATAACTCTGCCTACAATATTAACAGAATTATGCCCCTTTTTAACTTAGAAATTTGGTTAAAGTTTTTTGTAAAGTCAAATATCTCAATTATTGCTTTAGATATTCAATTGAAACTTACAATACTTATTTATAGTAACAAGGTACATCAGATTGACAAGTTGGATAACTCTGCCTACAATATTGACAGAATTATGCCCCTTTGGAACATAGAAATTTTGTTTAAAGTTTTTATGTAAAGTCAAATATCTCAATTATTGCTTTAGATATTCAATTGAAATTTAAAATACTTTTTTATAGTAACAATGTACATCAGTTTTCAAAATTGCATAACTCTGTGTGGAATATTTGCAGAATTATTTGCCCCTTTGAAAATTAGAAATTTTGGTTAAAGGTCTTCAAAGATATTTACTTGAAACTTTACACATGCATTTAGGGTCATAATTGGAGGATCATAATTGTATGTCACTGACCAAGTTCCATAACTCTATCTTGCATTAAGGCTGATTCATATTCCCTATTCTACTTAGTCTCTTGGTTAATGTTTACATGCAAGTTTTACATATCTCAATAACTATTAAAGATATTTATTTAAAACTTCACATATGCATTTAGGGTCATAATTATAGGTCACTGACAAAGATCCATAATTCTATCTTGCATTTAGGCTGATTTTTCTCCCCTTTTTCAACTTAGAAATTCATGGTAAAGTTTTTCTTGTAAGCTGTTATCTCCATAACTACTGAAGGGTTTGTGCCTTTTTTGGGACAATTTATGGATTCATAATAATAAAGCAGTGATTTACTTGATAAAAATTCTTAATAACAAGCCTTTGTACCTTTTGCTGTCAAATATATGTATTCATAGGTAATTAGTATTATTATACTCAATAAAACAGCCTTGTCACATTACTCTTAGAATAGTCAGCCAATACTGTATAATTAGACTCTCTCTAAGGCCTACAACATGAATTTATTAAAAAAAATTAGCCCTTTTGTGAACTTAAAAAATTTAACATTATCAAGGCTCTTTAACTATCAAGCACTTAGAATAGTAGAGCGTGCTGTCCTACCGACAGCTCTTGTTATACATATTTTTTCTGTCTTTAAAGAAAGAAATTTTTCCTAAAGAAGGAGAAAAATCATACTGTTTGAAAAGGGATAATTGTGCCAAATTTTGACCCTGTTGAAGGATTGCCTAATTTCTTTACATAGAGGACATACCATTACACACCCACCTTGATTGAAAAACAAAACATTTGACAAGTATGTTAATTCCTTGACTTAGTGGTTGGCACCATTTTATGTCCATGCGTAATTAAGTTTTGAAGTATATCTTTGTACAAGAACTTTTGAAATGTTTGTAGTTTGTTTATTTCAGTACCAGTGTATTACACAGAAATGTTGGATACTATACAAAGGTCAAAAGATGAAAATATCAGTTCAGAAAATCTCATTTTGGAAATTAACTCTTTGAAGTAAGTTTAAAAAAATAGCTATGAAAAATTTTAGAGTCACACTTCCATGATTTTTATGCCCCCGCCATGTAATGGCCGGGGCATATAGTGTTACCCTGTTTCGTCATTCCGTCCTTCTGTCATTCCGTCATCATCAGTTTCCGTTCATTATCTTAAGAACGGTTGCACACATTTAAGTCAAATTTGGCATATGGATATGTCATGAGAAAATACAGGTCAAGTTCGAATTTGGTCATGGTTCGATGATTTTTGGCAGAGTTATGCCCCTTTTACTTTGAAAATAATATAAAATTTCAGTTTCCTTTCATTATCTCCCCAACGGTACAACACATTCAACTCAAACTTGACATATGGATATGTCATGAGAAAATACAGGTCAAGTTCGAATTTGGTCATGGTTTGATGATTTTTGGCAGAGTAATGCCCCTTTTACTTTGAAAATAATATGAAATTTTCAGTTTCCGTTCATTATCTCCCCAACGGTACAACACATTCAACTCAAACTTGACATATGGATATGTCATGAGAAAATACAGGTCAAGTTTGAATTTGGTCATGGTTTGATGATTTTTGGCAGAGTTATGCCCCTTTTACTTTGAAAATAATATGAAATTTTCAGTTTCTGTTCATTATCTCCCCAACGGTACAACACATTCAACTCAAACTTGACATATGGATATGTCATGAGAAAATACAGGTCAAGTTCGAATTTGGTCGTGGTTTGATGATTTTTGGCATAGTTATGCCCCTTTTACTTTGAAAATAATGAAATTTTCAGTTTCCGTTCATTTACTCCCCAAAGGTACAACACATTCAACTCAAACTTGACATATGGTTGCGTCAAAGGAATGCGCAGGTCAAGTACAAATTTTGTTTCTGTTCATTATCTACCCAACAGTGTTACATATTCAACTTAAATTTGACATATGGATATGTTAAAGGAATGGGCAGGTCAAGTTGGAATTTGGTCATGGTTTGATGATTTTTTGGCAGAGTTATGTCCCTTTCACTTTGAAAAAAAGATAGATACATCTTAGGAATTGAAGCAGTTTTAGTTTGAATTTGGTTGTAGTTCAATGATTTAAGACAAACTTATCTTTCCTGAATGTTGGAAAAATTTTGAACTTTCAGTTTCAGCACTCTTACTTTTAGCCATTATTTTGGCTACAAATATGCAATATGTTATTTTTAAAAGGTTTAGACTAAATAATTTCAGTGCCTTGAACATTGTATGAAAATGGTTTGTGTTGAAACATTGAAAAGTTTTAAGGGCTTTGAACTTAATGAAAAAAATAATTAATGCACCATCTGAAATTTTGGCTACATGCGGGGGCATCTGTGGCATGATGACACATTTCTAGTTATATTATTAGGTTCCTAGGCTATGGCATGTTTAGAAATGTTGAAGATTTATTTAAATGAAAAAGGAACACCATTAACAATGGTAGAGATTATAATCCATGGCCCTCGTGGCTAAGCTGTGGAACCATAATTGCTTAACTTGATAGTGTTGGCTTGACACCCAACAAAAGTACTAGTATGTGATAATGATCTGCCTATGCTACAAATGCCAGCCTGCATATTTGTAAAGTCTGACCGAATTCTATACTATTTTCTTTTCACTTCTATTATTTTGATTGCCCCTCACCGTTGTGGTTTCGAATCCTGAGAGGGACTTTGGATTCTTTCATGTCGGGAAGCTATACAGTTAGGTTACGGAACGTCGGTGGTTCTACTCAGGTGCCCGTTAATGCCTGAAATAATGCAGGGAAGGGCACCTGAGGTCTTCCACCACCAGTAAAGCTGGAACGTCACCATATGACCTTTACTGTGTTGGTGTGACATAAAACCCAATCAAACAAACTATTATATTGATATTAAAATTTTCAAACTTACTTGGGCAGTACAAAATTAAAAGCAGGACACTTTTATTTCAGAAATTTAAGGAATAAGAAAGAGAGAAATTTTTTATTTCCATTTGAAATACAAATGCATTACAAAATATTTATATTCGTCTTACTGTGATTTTGTTTTAACTTTTCAAATACATATTTGTTACAGACATGCATATAACATTACCATTAAGGAACTGACTGGTTTAGTGGTTAAAGTAATGTTAGAGCAACCATTCTCAGAGAATCCCAGTCTGGCTGGAGCAGACGCTATTAAAGTGCTGACACAGGTTAGTGTAAGGCTGGCGTTATATGATTTATACATTTGTTAATTGCAACTACCGCCCCCATTCCCTTGAGAATACAGTAGATTTTTACTTCTTTATTCTTTAAGCCTGGTAAAGGTGCTGCCAAGACTGACAAAACAAAGGAATAAGTGGCCATCCATATCATTTTCATTTTACTTTAGTTAATGAATTATAGTTAATGAATACAATACAAAAGAAATTTAAAACAAACAAACAGGAGCATCAAAAGATGGTGATAAATAGAAAATGTAATTTGAGACACTTAAAATGCGATTTATAGGAGAAAAAATAATACTAAGAGTATGAAACAACTTGTTGCTTAAAGTTACATTAAATAAATTTCATAAAAAAGAAATAGCGACATTTCATTAATAAATTGGGTTTCATATCGACCCCAGATCTTATTTTGGTGTCCAGACAACCAAAATGGGTTTAATGAGCATACAAATGTGCAACCTCATTGTTGCAAATTCGGAAGTGCAATTTCTGTTTGCATGAGAAACTCCGCCTTCAGATCATCCGTACATCAATATTAAATCAACAAACATGACTATAAGTAGCAGTCCTAATTTAACAGTATATTTCCGCATTGTAACGGATATTTTCATACAAATTAAATCTTTTTTATGAGATGATTATTTTTTCTGAACCACAGGCCTAGTGCACTGTGAAGCTTAAACGGTAAAAGTGTGTTTGCACAAGAAAATCTCATATTTGCTGTGTTCGGATTGCAACTATAACACCGTGACGTAGTGCATACACGAGCTGATTTTAGTCCTCATTTGCATGTTAAAATTCGTATACGAACTTTAGTGTTACCGTGGGGTTTTCCATTTAAAATCCTAATTTATGAACAATATTTAATGAGTTTTACAACGATACTGTTAAAAAGGTTATTTAAACTGTAGAATGCTTGGTTTTTAGGCCGACGGCAAAAATATTTTAACATATTTATTTAATGTAACTTAAATGTATATCCTAGAGTCATTAGTTTTGACACCCTTAAGCTGTTTAACCAGTGAAATTTTTTATATTGAACTTGATCATTAAATAATATACAATATAAAGTTACTATGGCATGTTGTTTATCACTGCAAACCAGTTTTATGTTTGTTAAAAATTCAAAATCAGTTAAGTTTTGTACTTAACTAAACAGACCGTGGAGGCATCCATTGCTGTTTGCAGTCATATGAAATGACGCCTTTTCATTGGGTGGTTATTTTAAAAGGATATTTCACTGTAACGTAATATGAACAGCAAAAGAATATTTTTAATGAGCAAACCTGCAATGAAACAACATCGTGAAAACTTAAAATTATGTTTTATTTCATATAAAACTCCATTATTTAGGAATGCCATACACCCTAGCAGTGGTCTTAATAGGTGCACCTGTCTCTTTCACTTTGAATGTATTTACCATTAATCTTGATGAATAGCATCTGTATTTGGCTTACAGGGCTGAAAAATATATCTAAAATGAAATATGTTGTAAAGATATGTATATGTTGATTTGAAAAATTGTTCTTTTTTCTTTCTTTTTGAAACTTTATATACAATAGTTAACCCATTATGAACTTTATTCAGTATCAATTAAAAACCAATTAACGTTTTCAAACAATATAAGCTGTACACCTTATGCTACAGTGAATATTAAGGACACTTTGCAAATTTTTGGTCACATGACACTCATAAGACATTTTAAAATGGAGGATAGAAACAGAAAAGGGCAGGTCAAGATTTTTCAAAGGCTTTATTTGCAAAATTATGGCTTGCATACACATCGATTGAATTTGCATTAGTAAAAAGATGAAAAAATACAGTAAATTTGATAAAGGTGAAGTATTTTCAATGAAATGTCTCTGTCTTTCCACATGTTTTAGTTATACGTTGTAAGTACATGTTTGCAGTGCAGTCAGCAAATTATGACGTCATGAGAGGTCGTTTTCGTCATTTGTTAGGTAAAAACAAAAATGGCGTCAAAATAGATGAGCGTAAAAACACATGACCGGACGATATACATGTACAAAATTTTTAGAGGCTATGATGTTTGTGGTATTTTTAGTAACAAATATCTTTTGACCACATGGTTATATGGCCCATTACTTTTGGTTGTAAGCTTAAATTATCCAGTCTGCTAGAAGAAAGATATAACAAATTATTGCTCATCATGATCTTGTTAAGTGTCCACTGCTTTTGCTGATTTATATTTAAAATGATGCATAAACTTGCTGGAGCTGTGTATATGACATATTAAGTTATTGACCTCATGGTTAACCAATGAAAATCCGTTTTACAAACCGGCAGTTTTATAAAAGTGATAAAGATTGTGTGTGTTTTTGTGTATTTCAGACTTTGAGTAAACATTTATCAGTCCTGCAAAATTATATAAAAAATGAGGAATCACAACTCCAGTGTTTACAAGCAATAGAGGTAAGTTGTTTGATGCCTTTTATAGGAGATTGATCATAACCTACAGTGTATTATGGAATATAATTGCATGGTTCAAGGTTAGGTGCACAGTTATATTATTATGTAGGTCATAAGTCCATGTAGTTCATTATTAACCACCTGAAAATTGATAAATCATGAAATATTTTGTGATAATTAAAAAAAAAAAGCTTTAAAAAAACCCATTACAGCTACATGCATCCAGATGTGCAAAAATATTTCAAGAAAAACATACCAAGATTTTATGAAAAGTAAACAAATTCACAATTCAAGAGATAATTTACATGTCACTTGCAATTTATGACTGATTTTGCAGAATTTATCATCATGTTTATACAGTGTGACTAACACAGTAAGAGCTATTTGCAAATTCTGAACTATTTTTGGTAATTTTTGTAGATTGTAAGTGCTGTTTACAATGTGTAATTTACTTTATATGTTTACTTGACAATATTTTTCTAATAAATACATTTTAGATTTTTTTCTTCAAATAAGCATGAATCTGCAGGCATGCTGCTTTAACATCTCCCATCAAACTTGTTTTTAGAGACCTCTAATGGACTGTTTCAAAGTGAAATCCCATAATATAAACTTAGCCGGTTAAGGGTTAATATTTTACATATATGCTATGATATGACAACAAGATGGTAAGTATTAATATGCTGTTGGGTTAACATTAATATGATATGTTAATTAGAATGTGAGTATTGATATGCCAATGCCCATGCATTATTTGTATTTTTCAGGTGTTTGGCTCAGCAAATTCGGTCCATATGGCTTTAGTTATGAAGCTGATACACTTCCTGTATGATTCTGATATTTTGGCAGAGCAGGCTATTTTTAGATGGTACAAAGCGCCACCTAGCAGCAGTGGCCATGACGAGCTTGATGCAGTAGATGGAGAGGAAATGGAAAATAAGCATTCTGAAATTAGAAAACAGGTGAGATTATTGTTTCATTTTTAGTACCTAGTCAATATATGTATTATTCTCAAAATGGTCTGTTTGCTTAGCAGAATATAGAGCTTGGTATATGTAATCAATTTGTATCTATTCTTTGATTAGGTTAAATTTCCTAACTGATTGAGTCTAATGGTTTTTGATCTCTCACCATTGATGCAGAATTGAGCCGCGTCATGACAAAACAAACATAATGGGTTTGCGACCAGCATGGATCCAGACCAGTCTGCGCATCCGCGCAGTCTGATCAGGATCCATACTGTTTGCTATTAGTTTCTGTATTTGTTATAGGGTTGGTAAGCGAACAGCATGGATCCTGATCAGACTGCACGGATGGGCAGGCTGGTCTGGATCCATACTGGTTGCAAACCCATTATTATACCCCCACAAACGAAGTTTAGGGGGGGTATATAAGAGTCAGCTTGTCGGTCAGTCGGTCGGTTGGTCGGTCCGTCCGTCCGTCCGTCGGTCGTCATCATGGTTTCCGGACGATAACTAGAGTTTGGAATGAGGTATTGTAATCAAACTTGGTATATAGCAACCTTATGTGGAAACTCCGGTTGGTATTGCATTTGGACCCCCTGGGGTCAAGGTCAAGGTCACCGTTAATACTAAAAATAGAAAAATGGTTTCCGGACAATACCTAGAGTTAGGAATGAGATATTGTTATCAAACTTTGCGTATAGCAAGCTTATATGAAGACCTGGGTTGGTATTGCATTTAGGCCCCCTGAGGTCAAGGTCAAGGTCACCGTTACTAAAAATAGAAAAATGGTTTCCAGACAATAACTTGAGTTAGGAATGAGATATTGTAATCAAACTTGGTGTATAGCAAGCTTATATGAAGACCTGGGTTGGTATTGTATTTGGACCCCCTGGGGTCAAGGTCAAGGTCACCGTTACTAAAAATAGAAAAATGGTTTCCGGACAATAACAGGAGTTAGGAATGAGATATTGTTATCAAACTTGGTGTATAGCAAGCTTATATGAAGACCTGGGTTGGTATTGCATTTGGACCCCCTGGGGTCAAGGTCAAGGTCCTGTTACTAAAAATAGAAAAATGCTTTCCGGACAATAACTTGAGTTAGGAATGAGATATTGTAATCAAACTTGGTGTATAGCAAGCTTATATGAAGACCTGGGTTTGTATTGTTTTTGGACCCCCTGGGGTCAAGGTCAAGGTCACCATTACTAAAAATAGAAAAATGGTTTCCGGACAATAACTAGAGTTAGGAATGAGATATTGTTATCAAACTTGGTGTATAGCAAGCTTATATGAAGACTTTGGTTGGTATTGCATTGGTACCCCCTGGGGTTCAGGTCAAGGTCACCATTCCTAAAAATAGAAAAATGGTTTCCGGACAATAACTAGAGTTAGGAATGAGATATTGTAATCAAACTTTGTGAAAAGCAAGCTTATTTGGAGACCCCAGTTGGGATTACAATTAATTGAAATATTTTTTTGTACACAGTTGATAGTTTGTGTTGAAATTTTTCTTCAGGCTACTTTTTTTTCAAAAAGTTGCTGGTGGGGGTATTAATCACCTTCAGTGATAGGTCTAGTTTTGGTTTTTTCATGCGCGGCTCAATTCTTGTGTGATTAGTAATCAGTCTATAATGCTAAAGGCAATTTTGTAATTACTGGTTAGTTAAACCAGTAAAACAAGTAAGGTGGATTTCCTTCTGAAGTAAGACAAAATCTGAGTTGAAATCTTTATAAAAATCAATTCAAACAAATGAAATTTAGTATAAGAAAAATAAAAGAGAACATGTAGAAAAATACTGAAATACCGTAAAACGCTTTCTGGTCAAGTGTTGAAGGTCACAGATTTGGACCCACTTGCTCCTTTCATTTGTGATTCAGGGGTTGTGCTCCACAACTTTAAGCTGGAAAATTGTACAACATTCAAGACATTTACCTCCGCCAATCACACTGTCCGTCTTAAGACTGATAAAACAATGGATTTTTTTTTTGTGCATCCATGTCCACTTTCCACATTACAATATAAACAATTATTTTGCCAACAACCAAATACAGTTTTATACTCTTTTTTTATGGGCAAAGAAGCATTCAATTTCAAAGAACTGTCGTTTTTGTTTCCATTGTAGGTGGCGCCACTCATCAAGTGGTTGGAAGAAGCAGACGAAGAATCTTCCGATGATGAAGACGATTGACTCGTGCTCGCTTTTAGTATCTACACAGCCATTTTCGTCATCATAACTCTAGTACTATTACTTCAGCTTCATGGAATGAATAAACTAACTTTCTGGATGGACAGTAAATGTCATAGGGACATGAATGAGAGTTGTTGGGTTGTTTAACCCTTTAGCACGCCTTATGTCTGAAATGGAATTGTCCATCATTAAAAATAGACTAAACAGTTGATCATTTTTGGGGGGAAATTTCAAAATATGAACTGACTGTAATGCAAACCATGCAGACAGTGGTTAAATGGAATGATTGGGTTGACTGGTTCCTGGGCTGCACTGATTGCATGGGTAGAATTTGGTGAAGCCAGCAGGTTATGAATTATGAATTCTATTAGAAGGAACACCATCTAATGTAGTGACTTTTATGATAAAAGGACAGTGTTACTTGGTTCAGTCCAGCTTGTGAGCTACGGGATGGTCAATGTTTATCCTATTTTAAGATAAAATCAAATTCGTTTCACACACATTTGGAAATATGGAAATAGTTCTATCATGGAGTTTCAAAAATGGAGAAAAAAAATTCATGGAAGTATCGTGGAATTTTAAGATTCTGCCTTGAGCATGTTAAAATTTTCATATAGTGCAAACAAGTGCTAAGGTTCAATCATTTAAATTAAACATGATAGGATATTGATAAATAACTATGAATTAATTTGTTTATTAAAAAAAAACAGCTGCAAAAAGCAAAATTATGGATATAAATGTGTTTATAAATAGCATAATCATAATTATATTCAATGTCATGAAAACAAATTTGTGTTAGATATTTATAAATGATCTTTGTTTTGTAAGGAAAAAACTTGAGCCTTTAAAATGTTTTTATATTAATCATGATTTGATTTGCTACATTCTGTTTATAGCTGTTTATTTACTATGCTGGAAATAAAAATGCTTTGTGACTTATTTTTGCTTTTGTGTTACCTGTTACAAGGAGACATTACAATGTACATATATATAATCTTAGAAGCCAAGTGGTCGAGTACGAAGTACGATACCTCTCTGGCGTGGGTTCGATCCCCGGGAGATGCTTTGGTAGTTTAGCGCGGAGAAAGGTAGTCTAGTACTGGTGTAACTCTTCAGGAACGATGGTTAGGAAACTACCCGCCTATATGACTGAAATACTGTTGGGGAAAAGGCGTAAAATGAAACAAACAAACGAAGTACGATATGAACTTCCATCATGTACTTGTATGTCCAAAGCCATATGATGTCTGCTGCTGATTCATGAACTGAATTTTTACTGTAACTGTTCAATTTTTATACGCATGTTTGAAAAACGGGGCGTATTATAGTCCCTCCCCCCTGGCGGGCGGCGTCAAATTTTTGTCCGGAGCATGCGGCTGGGCGGGCGGCGTCCAATTTTTGTCCGGAGCATATCTCCTACACCCATGACAGAATTTTAATGAAACTTCATAGAAATGTTAACCACTATGAGAAGCCGTGTCGTGCTCATGAACCCGGCCTCTAGGTCAAAGGACAAGGTCACATATACAGGTCATTGAAAAATGCTTGTCCGGAGAAAAACTTCTACATGCACAGAGGGATTTCAATATAACTTGGCACAAATGTTCACTATTGTGAGGCGGAGTGTCCAGCTCAAAAATTAGGTTCCTGTGGCCAAGGTCACACATAGGGGTCAAAGTTCAGATAAAAGTATGAAAATGTATATTGGGACTATTTAGTTATTATTTATTGAGGGATTGAAACAAATGGTCATTATCATGACTACTGGTGTAACCTATTGTATTTAGATTAATATATGCAAGGTCAAAGTCACTTATGATGATTGCCAAGGCCACTAAAGATGATAAAGTATAGAGATTTTGTCCAGAGCATAACTTGTAAACATATGGAGGGATTCTAATGAAACATCATACAAATGTTCACCACTATGAGAAGCCGTGCTGCGCGCATGAACCAGACCTCTGTATCAAAGTTCAAGGCCAAAGTTAGAGGTCGTAGAAAATGCTTGTCCGGAGCCAAACTTATACATAGAGGGATTGCAATATACATGTAACATGGCATAAATATTCACTATTGTGATGCGGAGTGTCCAGAGCAAAAATTAGGTTCCTGCGGTCAAGGTCACACATATGGGTCAAAAGTCAGATTAAAAAAACACTAGAGATGATTGTATATCTAGATATTACCCAGAGCATATCTCCTATATGCATATCTATAAAGCCCACATCTCTGCCAAAAGCTTCTGTGACAGGCAAATATTGCGACAATTTTGCCCTTGTTTGTTTTGTTTCGACTTAAATCTATCTAATTGTATGAAAAAAATGTTTGTACTTACTTGTATCTAAGAGAAATGTTTATAAGAATTAATGATGCTTGAAAAAGGTTATGACCATGGTAGGACCAATCGGTCATTCAGTCAACAAATTCTAAAATTATGTAAATATATGCTGCTTAAACATTTTCTGTTTGGCCACCAATCGGATAAAGGATAAAATCAGGTAAACTGAAAACTTAAAATGCATTATCACGTGTTCTGACTTTTAGAATGATAATTAACCTCAATGTCATATATTAAAATTTCTTTAGTTTTATATGAACTATTTCAACAACATGTAAGTTGACCTCTTTATTTGCTTTTAGATATATTTCCACTTTTTTTACAACCATGTCAATGTGAGCTAGGTCTGTAATCGTAAGAACGAATTCTGAAACAAACATCTTTTCCATGCCTTTTTATGGCTATAAAGGCGTCTTATGTTTTTGTTAAAAGCTATTTCATATAATTTTCTACTATTTACCTTAAATTAACTCAAAATTGTTTATGAACTACTGTATTTCTGTTGGGCGCCTACTTAGATTGCGCATGCGTGATAAATTACTACTTCTTGTTGATTTTTCATAGCAACAGATAAAAAGGCCTATAGATAAAATTATCTATGTATCAATGTAATGCTGATATCTGTCAACTGATTATGTATTAGTTATTAGTCATTTGCTCCAATAACTTCTAGACAAATAATTCACGTTTGCACATTTATTTACGATCAACACTATTTGCGCACCAAAACGTTCTCTCTCAGAAAACACTCATAGACCGGACCTCAAAATATTTTGATATATATGTGTATGATTGAAACTTATTATAGATGGCCAGGCAGTAAGCTGGACTTTTTTATTGATCTGTAAATGATTATTGTTATGTTTAAAATAATTTTAATTTTTAGCTCGACTATTCGAAGAATATGAGAGCTATTGTAGTCGCCCCGGCGTCGGCGTCAGCGTCCGCGTCGGCGTCTGCGTTGGTTAAAGTTTTTTGTAAAGTCAAATATCTCAATCATTACTTGAGATATTCAATTGAAACTTACAATACTTATTTATAGTAACAAGGTACATCAGATTGACAAGTTGGATAACTCTGCTTACAATATTGACAGAATTATGCCCCTTTTTAACTTAGAAATTTTGGTTAAAGTTTTTTGTAAAGTCTAATATCTCAATTATTGCTTGAGATATTCAATTGAAACTTACAATACTTATTTATAGTAACAAGGTACATCAGATTGACAAGTTGGATAACTCTGCTTACAATATTGACAGAATTATGCCCCTTTTTAACTTAGAAATTTTGGTTAAAGTTTTTTGTAAAGTCAAATATCTCAATTATTGCTTTAGATATTCAATTGAAACTTACAATACTTATTTATAGTAACAAGGTACATCAGATTGACAAGTTAGATAACTCTGCCTACAATATTGACAGAATTATGCCCCTTTGGAACTTAAAAATTTTGGTTAAAGTTTTTTTGTAAAGTCAAATATCTCAATTATTGCTTGAGATATTCAATTGAAATTTAAAATACTTTTTTATAGTAACAATGTACATCAGTTGCAAAATTGCATAACTCTGCCTGCAATATTTGCAGAATTATTTGCCCCCTTTGAAACTTAGAAATTTTGGTTAAAGGTTAAAGGTCTTCAAAGATATTTACTTGAAACTTTACACATGCACTTAGGGGTCATAATTGGAGGGTCATAATTGTATGTCACTGACCAAGTTCCATAACTCTATTTTGCATGAGGCTGATTCATATCCCCTTTTCTACTTAGTCTCTTGGTTAATGTTTACATGCAAGTTTTACATATCTCAATAACTATTAAAGATATTTATTTAAAACTTCACATATGCATTTAGGGTAATAATTGTAGGTCACTGACAAAGATCCAAAATTCTATCTTGCATTTAGGCTGATTTTTCTCCCCTTTTTCAACTTAGAAATTCATGGTAAAGTTTTGCTTGTAAGCTGTTATCTCAATTACTACTGAAGGGTTTGTGCCTTTTTTGGGACAATTTTATGCATTCTTAATAATAAAGCAGTGATTTACTTGATAAAACATCTTAATTAGAAGCCTTTGTACCTTTTCTGTCAAATTTATGTATTCATAGGTAATTAGTATTATTATACTCAATAAAACACCCTTGTGACATTACCTTCTGAATAGTCAAGCCAATACTGTATAATTAGACTTTCTCTAAGGCCTATAACATGAATTTATAAAAAAAAATTAGCCCTTTTGTGATCTTAAAAAATTTAACATTATCAAGGCTCTTTTACTATCAAGCACTTAGAATAGTCGAGCGTGCTGTCCTTCCAACAGCTCTTGTTTATTTATGTAAATACTTTTTTTGGGGTTGTAGACTAAGAGGTCTGGGGTTGGGGCATTATTTCCTGACCTTGCTACGCGCTATACATATTTGATCATTTTAGTTCACATGCCGTTTTGTAAATGAGTAGCGTATGCTGATTGGAACTACAGAGCTATATTAAAATTTGTATTAAAAGTCTCATTTAGATATGGTTGCTGATTTGGAACACTTTCGTGCGTCGCGTTGTCGCACTGTTGTCTTGTCGTCATGTCGCTAACGAAGCACACCAAACGGCGCGTTGTCGTGCGGCGTTTTGTCGCGATCTCAGATTGTCGCTCGGTTCAAATGGAAGCATTGGCTATTTGTATATATATATACAGTAAAAACTCTGAAAACCGGACCCTCTGAAAACCGGAATCATCTGAAAACCGGACCATTTTAAAAGTCCCGTATTTTCTCCCTATATGTTTATTGCAAAAAAATCCTCTGAATACCGGAACCTCTGAATTCCGAAAACCGGACGATTTTCTATGATTTCTAATGGTAAACATGCATAAAAAATCCTCTGAAAACCGGACAGCAATTTAAAGTGTCAACTGTCTGTGTACTTCAATGTAGATCTAAACATTATCTCAACAGGTGACATGTTCAATTACCAGGTAATGGTCACATCTCCTTTTAGCTATGCAGGTGTGAAAACACTTGTCAGTGTATGTTAATTTCTTATTGTAAATTAAATTTAAGCTCTTTCATCATACTTGTGTCTTTCCTCCTATAGATATGATTTTTCAAATTTTTTTTAATGTGTTATGTTTTTTTTAATATAAAATATAAAATGTCTAAAAGAGTTTGAAAACTTTTTTTAAATGATTCCAGTTTTGCTTTAAATTTTGATCTTGAAGTTATCTTTGTTTTGCAAAAATAGTAATACTAAATTCCATTAATTACATATTTCAAAGCTAATGAAAAAGATATTATGATATATTTCAGACAATGTTTTGTTTTAATTTCTGATTTTCTGAATTGGATTCATGGATTTGCATAATAAAATTACTTAAGACATTTATTGCAAAAAGAAATTAAAATATGACTTAGATAAAAGGGTTGAAAAGTAAATACAAAATGATTAAACAAAGTCATTGTTAAAACACATCATAATTATCAATAAATGTATAAAACCTCTGAAAACCGGAATCCTCTGAAAACCGGACTTTTGGTCAAGTCCGGACAGGGTCCGGTTTTCAGAGTTTTTTACTGTATATATATATATATATATATATATATATATATATAT